GCACAGCGCCCCACACGGCAGAGACTGCAGGCGCCCCGCCCCCCATGTTTCTTTGTCTGCCCCGTCTCCATCCCTTCCTCGGGCCCAGGCTAATGAACACTGGGGAGTCTCCTGGCCCCGGACACACACAGTGGAGTCCTGTCTGTGGGAGGGGACTTGGGGACCGCACAGAAAGTTGTGGGGAGGCGGGGGCGTGTGGGAATAACTCAGACATTCCATCATGACCTCAACACGGTGACAACGGTGTGGGGTGCTCAGCATAACAGGGACAGGTGACAATGAATAGGAACCAGGGATGATGGACAGACAGTGTGACGGCAACAGGTGACAAGGAGGAGACAGTGTGACAGCAACAGGTGCCAATGAGGAGATAGGCTGATGGCGACAGATGACACTGTAATAAAAGAACCCCCCCCCCGGGAATAGTTGTAACGTTGGTAGGGAGGCTGGGATATGGTGATAAAGGACAATAAGGAGACAGTGTGTGGAGATGACAGGTGGCAGTGGGGGGGGGCAGTGTGGCAGTGAGAGAGGACAACTTAGGACAGTCTCTGATGGTGATGGAAGGCGGCAGGAAGATGTCGGGTGTGGCGGGAAAGGGGTGATGACAAGTTGGGAACAACACAGCATACAGGACCTTTGCCATCTATGTGGCCATCAGGTGACTCAGTGACCTTCCCTAGGTCTGGGACATGAGCCCCTCACGAGTCACATCCCATAACAGAACCTCTAGACAGCAGATCCCATTTTCCAGGTGGGGACACACGCCCCCACACTCCTCCCGCCAGTCACCCCCGCCCCCCACTCTGACAGCTGCTGGCGCTGGAAGAAGTCGGGGCCCCCTTGGACTCTGTTTTGCCGAGGCGGTGCTGATTTCCAGTGTCTCAAGCATCATCCGAGCCTGGGGAGCAAGAGGGAAGGGAAAGTGTCTTTGTGGCCCCAGATCTGTGGGTGACTCGGGCGTCGCTCTGCTGGCTGTGGAACCCCCAGCTCGGGTCTGCAGCCTCCTGGGGGATCTGGGCGCAACCAAGGGCCCTTTCTGCGGAGGGTGATTTCTACTGCTCGCAGTGCAAGAACGCTGGCGCTCTGGGTGATGGTTCGATTGTTACCGGGTCACAACGTCACAGCCACAAGGTGTAGAGATGACAGGGGACAACATGAATGTGACAGGCAGCAAAATAACCAGAAGACAGCAAGGGGTTCTGCTGACGGGTGACAATGAGAGGGTGACAGCACTGGGTGACAGTGACGGGAGACCTTGTAAAAGGGTGCTGGTCATGCTGCAACATTGGCAGGGACACTGGGAGTGCTCTGCCCCGTATGATGGCCTTGGCGTGGCCCTGGGCTGCTGATCGGCAGGGGGAGCCTAAACGCCCTTCCAGACAGTGTGATGTAATGGAGCGTCCACGTAGGTAACACTTTCAGTGTGACATCAGTAAGGAGCAGCAGTATAAAACCTTGCAGGATGTGACGGGGCGGGGGGCAGTGGACAATGACAAGTGCCTGTCGCTGTGTGCGTGCCAGACACACTTGTTGGCTGAAGAGCAGCTCAGCGTAGACCTTGACAAAGGAGCCTGGGAAGAGGCGACAGACGTGTCCCCAGAGACTGGCTCATCCACGACAGCCCCTGGCCCTCCCTCACTAGAATCCGACCTGTCGCTGCTATTCCAGTTGACCCTGGGGCTCCTTCCCTGGCAACCCCCCCCCCCCAGGGATCCCATTTCCTCTGCCAGGATGACTCGAATCTTGTCCCTGAGGTTTCCCTCTGTCTCGTGCTCCCCCAGCCCAGTTCTACCCCCACAGCACAACTTCTGGGGCGACTTCCCTTCCTTTCCTCTGTTCCCTCAAAACTCCAGCCTCATTCAATTCCTGTTCTCCATGCTCTTTTGTCTCCAGACCTTTACCTGAGCTGTTTCTTCTGCTTATCTTTCCTTCCCCTTTTCTGACCTGCTCCTTTCTACTGACCCCCCAAGGCTCCCATCCTCAAACAGAATGCTCCTTTCCTCCTCTCCCCAATCCTGGGGATCCCTCTCTCCTGCCCAGGAATGTTGGAGTCCAGATCTGTCTCCTGGGACCCACACGGGGAGATTATGAGTATCTCCCTCATACGGTTTTTAGTTCCCGAATGAGATAATGTGCACCACACGCTTAGCACCAAGCCTGGCACGTAAGTATCCAATAAATATTAGCTCAATTTATTTTTACTATTTATTTATTACCTCTTCGAAGTGCTGTGATGGAGACATGATCAGCACAGTCAGCTTGGCAATTTAAGAGGGTAAACTAACAATTTGGGAAAAGGGAGGGGCTTTTAGAGCTGGGCTCTGTCAGATGCATAGGAGTTTGCTGAGTGGCATTAACAGTTTCAGGTCCACCAAACAGCTCTGACTCGGTCCCCACTCTAAGGGTCACTGGTGGTGTCTGTTCTCAAAGGTGGAAAAGTAGTGGGCGAAACCTATAAATTTTCACTCCGAGCGTATAGTCCAAACAGGTAACCAAAATTCTGAAGTCTGGGCCCGTTTGGCAGGTAGAGAAACTGAGGCTCAGAAAGTCTAGACCTTTTGGATTCTTAAACTCTTCGTTTTGAGAATCAGATGTAATATGTGGACCTCCTCCTCAGGAAGAGCATCTTTGCCCCATGTTTTGACTACATTCTTAGGGACCCCCGGACCTTAGTTTAGTTAAGAACTCAGGCTCCAGGCGTGGCCAGGTGAGTTTCCAACGTCACTCTTGGAATTCTCCTAGCCCGAGGGAAGGGGAGGTGGCTTGGGACGACGAAGGACGGCCTCCTAGGTGAGTCCCGCGACCTCGCGGCCTGGCTTTATTTCCGGCCACCCCAAATCGGCCGCCCCAATCGGAGCCCCACCTCGGGGCCACCTCCAGATCAATTCCTATCCGCAAACGCGGTTTCGGGAGCCCAATCTCCTCCAGTCCCGGAGTGGCCTGAGCCCTCCGTCCCCCCCCCGCCCCCCACATCTAACCTCTCAACCCCGGCCTGAGTTCTGGGTACTCTCCCTCCGGTTTCTCCAGCCCCTCCGAGTCTCACCCGCGGCCTCGGGCCCTCCTCCCCAGCTCCAGCCCCTCCCCCCGGCCCGCATCCGAGCCCCCGGCCCCCGCCCCGGGAGCTTCGAGGTGCAAACGCGCCCTTCCCCGACTCCTCCCGCCCCCAACTCCCCCCCTCACCACCACGAGCGGCGGCTCCGGGCTGCGAGCGCGGCGGGGTCGGCCTCTCGGTGCGCCTTCCCGCCCCGGGCCCCCCGGCGCCGCGCGAGCCGGCCCCCCAGCGCGGAGCCCCCGCGTCCGCCCGCCGTGCCCGCCTCCACGCGCGCCGGCTCGCAGGTTGGTGAGCGCGGGGCCGCCGGGGCGCCAGCGGGGACGGGGGGCGGGGGAGGCCGGGGCCCGGGAGGGGGAGGGGGAGGGGATTCCTTTGTTCGCGGCCGCGGCCCCGGGCCCACCCGCTCCCCTCTGCGCGCGGGATGGGGGCGCGGGCGGCGGGAGGGCCCGACCCGCAGGTGAGGGCGGAGCCGAGCGCGGTCGCGGCCCGGGGTGGGGGGTGCGGGGAGGGGGGGCCTTCGGTCCGCGGCCCTGCGGGTGGAGAGCGCGGCCGGCGGGCCCCCTCCTCGTCCGCGGAGCCCCGGACCGCTCGCTTCCCGCCCGCGCCGTGCGCGCCTTCCCGGCTCATTCATTCGAGCACCTCCCGGGCGCGGGGCGCGGAGGCGGGGGCGGGGAGGGGGTGCCGGGTCCGGCCGGGCCAGAGCCCCCCGGGGCGGAGGGGGCGGGGAGCGAGGCCGCGTGGGCCCCCGGCGGCGTCCTCCCCGCGTCGACTGAAGTGGGACAGCTTGGAAGCCAGAAAGGGGTGCTTCTTCCCAGCGAGGCTGAGTCTTCTCCGACGCTCGGCCAAAATTGACAAGACTCTCCCTTCCCCCGAGGGCCTTGGGACCATCTGGCCAGTCTCTCTTGTCACTCCCAGGCCCAGAGAGGGCCGGCTACCGGCCCAATGGCACACAGCATCCTGCCTGCACGTTCCCTACCCAGGACCAGTTCTTCTCCCTGGTCTGGGAAGTAGGACCTGAAAGGGTCCCCCAGAAGGCCATTTAGTCTGTCTCCTGCCCTCCGAGTGGTCAGCTTCACCTCCATTTCCTGCCTCCTGTCCTTCTAGGTCCTGGAGAGGGCCAGCCACCTCCTCAGAGGGGGAGTCCTCCCCCCTCCCCCCCAGCACTCACCCACCCCTAGCCCCTCACTAACTGTGTGATGGCCTTAATTTGCTCATCGTGAATTGGACACAAAAGCTATCCCTTCCCCGCTGGGGAGAAGGAGTGCCCCGCCCTGATGTGCATTTGCGCTTCTCTCTCCCGCCCCCTTGGGTCGGTCCTCCGCGTGGGTCCTCCCAGCCAGAATTCTGGGAGTCTCCTCGATGCCTCCTGCCTCCCTTGGACCCAGCTTCCAATTCCTGGTGACTCCGCCTCCTTATTATTCCTGGAATTCTGTCGTCTCCCCCCTCTGGACCCCCGCCTCCTCACCTGCACCCTTCCTCCCTGGCCCCTGCAAGCCCTTCCACATCCCCACCCAACACCCATTCTGCCTTTGTTCCTCCTACTCCAAGCCCTTTAAGGGTTCTCCATCGCCCTGGACCCGCAAGTAGAAGTTACGCTACACAGTGCACCCCTGCAACACCCGTCCCTCCTCCCCCCACTTACCGCTCCACACTCCTCCCGTCTGTGCTCTCACTGTGCACGCTGCTCCCAGCACCCTTCTCTCAGCTAACTCTATCTGAGCCGTCACACCTCCTCCAAGAAGCCTGCCCTGACTCTTCACCTGGTTCCGGGTCAGGCTGGGTCCCTCCCTTGTCCCCCGACCCTGCCCCCAGCCATCCCTGCCTCCTGGTTCTCCTGGGTACTCTGCTGGGGTCGACTCTCTGCTTCCTCTCCGCAGCCTCTGAGGGACACATCATGGTTCTGAAAGGCCTGTGCTCAGCAAGGAGAAGGGCTGGTGCTCTCACCATGGCCTGGGGCCCCCTGGCTCGGCTCCTGCTGGCCTGGGCGGCCCTGCTGTGCCTGGTGGGGGTCCACGGCCGATGGGACAGGGCCTTGGAGTCTGCAGGTCCCGGACGTGTGCGCAGGCGCGGCAGCCCCGGCGTCCTGCAGGGGTGCGTGGTACCGGGCAGGCTGAGAGGCCCCTGGGGTGTGGGCTGGGCTGGCTGCGCTGCAGGGCAGGGGCTCACCCTCTGTGCCGTGCTCTCCCGAAGGCCGAATGTGTGCGGCTCCCATTTCCATGCCTACTGCTGCCCGGGATGGAGGACATTGCCAGGCGGTCACCAGTGTGTCGTTCGTGAGTGCCGCTGCCTTCTGGAGGGTGGGGGCTCAGGCTGGGGACACGGGGGTAGCTCTCCAACCTGCTGGCAAGTCCAACCCTGTTTGCCCGTGGACTTGACCAGGAGCATCAGGCTGAACCACAGGATTGGCCTGTCTTCAGCCTCCCAGGCCACTCTGCCATGTTCATTTCCTTTGCCTCCCTACCTCCCTGTCTCTGTGCCTGCCTGCCTGGCTCTCTCTCTCTGTCTCCCCCCGCCCCCGCCATCTCTGTCTCTGTCAGTCGGTACCCCCCACCTCCAGGTTCTAGAATGTGACTCCCCTCCCAGGAGAGCCCTCCGCCTCCACACCACCATCACCAACCCAGCGTCTCCAGCTTCTGTCCTTGCTCTCAGCCCTTGTGGCCTGGGCGCTGGCGGGGTGGGAGCGGCACAGGATTCGGGGCCTGGCCCTGACCGTCACCTGCTCTGCCCATGCCAGCTGTCTGCAGACACCCCTGTGGCGAGGGCTTCTGCTCCCGGCCCAACCTGTGCACCTGTGCTGATGGCAAGCTGGCGCCCGCCTGCGGGGGAAGCCGAGGTGAGCGGGGAGACGGCCCCTGGGGACAAGAAGAGAAGGTGACAGGCTTCCGGGTGCCCCCAGGGGCCCAGGCTGGTTTTGCCGAGGGACTGACCAGAGCCGGGCCGGGACATCCTCGTCCTGCCGCCGATCACGTGCATCTCGGGGATTTGCGGGCACTTTACTGCGTGTCCCTCCTCCCTGTCCTTAGGGTTAGGGTGCAGCGTGAGCTGCATGAACGGGGGCAGCTGCCGAGGGGAGTCCTGTCTGTGCCAGAGGGGCTACACGGGCACGGTGTGCGGGCAGCGTGAGTATCCCCCTTGAACACCTGGGGTTGGGGGCCCGGAGGCCGGGCTCTGCTTCCCTCCCCCGCCCCCGGGCCACTCTTCTGAGACCAGGGATGGGAGGGATGAACTTAGTCATCGTCAGACTTCTCATTGGATCTGGGCCACATGGTGGGGATTTTTGGGTGAAAATGGGCTTTTCGGGGCCCCAGCTCTCTCTACTGCGAGGGGACCTCAGGCCACCGCCCTTTCTTCCTCCACAGCCATCTGTGACCGCGGTTGCCACAACGGGGGCCGCTGCATAGGACCGAACCGCTGTGCTTGTGTGTACGGCTTCATGGGGCCGCAGTGTGAGAGAGGTACCAAGCTGGGCATGGGGAGTAGGGGCGGGGACAGCGGGGGGCTTCCCGGTAGCTCCCGAGAGGTAGCCAGGCCCTGGGAGGCTCTAGCTGGCCTCCTTTCTGTTGTCCATGATGCCGTGAAGGGCAGAGAAACTGCTGCTCCAGGGAAGGGCGTCAGGGAGGGCTTCCTGGAGGAAGCAATAAGTCAGAGTTCATGAGATAGACAAGCCCCCTTTTACCACACACACCCCCACTGTCAAAATACTCCCACTGCTGGGGGGGGGGGTCACCTGTTGGGAGATGGTGGCCAAAACTAAGATGGCGAAAGCAACTGTGCTTTGTGAAAAGTCGAATGGAGGGGAGATGGAAATAGCTGGACACCCAGCCCCGGGGCTGCCCCGTCCATGGGCCCAAAGCTGAGCGGATGGTTGACGTTCTGGCAGAAGATAAGTGAGGGTGACTTAGGCTGCGCAGAAAGCACGGAGCCCACGGGGCCCGGGGAAGCTGAGAAAGAGGAAGCCCGCGAGAGCAGGCAGCAGTGGGGATGCCCGGGCTGGCGAGGTTTCGGCTGCGGGAGCCACGAGGCTGCCCTGTGTGTGCCCAGGAGCCCAGGCTGGCGGAGATGGGCAGGCCCTGGACGGACCCTGGTGTTGGGTGGTGCTGCTGGATGAGCAGACCCATCTGTGGCCGGAGCCGGGGTGGAGACGGTGTCTCTATGAGTCAGAAGCCGGAGGGACTGGGAGGGGTACCTCGGAGCGAGCCGGGTGCTTTTGGAAACTGGAATTCGGGTTGACCGGATGGGGAACAGGGGGAACAGCGCGGGGTGGCTGAGGGGGAGGGACGGTGAGAGAGGGAGGCCTGAGTGGGTGGTGGGTGGTGAGGGCCCCTGAGAGAGTTGGGAGCCAGGGGGATTCCCGAGTCCTGGGTGAATTCGGCGAGATTCCGAATCAGGTGAATTAATGGAGTCAAGACCATTGCTGGTCTGTGTGCATCTCCCCCTCCATTTGGGTCTCGGGGGCCGGCTCTGGCTTCCCCTTCTGGGAGGGGCTTCCTTTGGTCTGTTGCCAGGCCCTTGATTAGAACCATCTGGAGGATGGAGCCAGGAAGCCCACATGTGAGCCCATGTACAGAGGTGGGGGCACTGAGGAGACTACCTTCGGCCGGGGGCAGGGGTCGGGGGTGTGGTGTTGCACTGGGTCCCTCCTCGAGTCTGGGGGATTTGGCCGGGCCTGACAGGCACTCAGGGATGCACTCTCCTGCTGGGTATATGTGGTCTCTGCCCAGGCCTGAAGGGAGGGTGGGCCTGGGAAGTGGTCGGATTTTCCGACAAGCTCTGGTCTTTGTGGACTTGGAGGTCCTGGCCTCTCTTTTGGAGGTAGGTTGGGGAATGCTTTGGGGAGAAAGGGTTTTGAAGGGTGAATAGGAGTTCGTCTGATAGGGATGGGGAACAGCATGAGTAAAGGCTGGTGTATTGGTATAGGGAGGCTGGAAAGGAGGCCACAGCAGTGGGCCGGGTAAGAGCGGTAAAGGCCCGAGCTGGAGCTGCAGGGATGGGGAAGCTCTGGGGTGGGGGCAGCTTGAGACCAGCCATCCATGCCCACCTGTCTCACAGACTACCGGACGGGCCCCTGCTTTGGTCAGGTGGGCCCTGAGAGGTGCCAGCACCAGCTGATAGGCCTCGTGTGCACGAAAGCACTCTGCTGTGCCACCGTGGGCCAGGCCTGGGGTGTCCCGTGTGAGCTCTGCCCTGCACAGCCTCACCCCTGTCGCCGAGGCTTCATCCCCAATATCCACACGGGGGCCTGCCAAGGTAAGTCAGCAAGTAGGGGTGAAGGTCCTGGGGGCCAGGGCTGAGTGGGAGCCCTCGCAGCCTTGGTTCTTCCCTCTGACGGGCCTCTCATTCCCTTGCAGATGTGGATGAGTGCCAGGCCGTCCCAGGCCTGTGCCAGGGGGGCAGCTGCGTCAATACCGTGGGCTCCTTCGAGTGCCGCTGCCCGGCTGGATACCGGCTCAGTGAGAACGGTGCCAAGTGTGAAGGTGGGCGATGGAGAGGGTGCCGACTAGGGCCCTCCTTTGTGCTGCGGGCAGCTCAGGCTCCCCTGCAAGGAGGAGGAAGAGGAAGGATAGGGCTGGTGGCGGACCTGCTTGTGATTGGGCATCCGTCTACACCGATGTGGACGAATGTGTTAGCGTCCTGGGCCTCTGCTCTGGGGGCGGTTGCACCAACACAGCTGGGAGCACCTGTCCCCGTGGGTTTGCCGCAGCCCGGACGGCTCCCGCTGCTGGGGTGAGCTGGGGCCTGAGGGTGCTGGAGGGACTTGCCCAAATATCCTTGCAGCCCTCTGGCCCTTGGGCTCCTCTGGTCCTCGAGTCTCAGTGTCCCTCTGCCGTTTCTGGAGCACGGTTTCCATCCCCTCTGGCTTTCTGGCTCGCTACGCATTAGCCTTTGTGCTCTGTGGACCCCAGTCCGCAAGCCCCTCACTTCCGCCCCGCCCTCGCCCTCCGCCCCGCCCCTCGGACTCCGGACTCCGTGCCGTCTGGCTCACTGGCCATCCTTATTGCCTCTCTGCCCCCCCCCCGTCTCTATGCCCCCTGACCCTCTAACTTCAATCTCTGTGCCCATCTACCCATTGGTTTCTCTGGCTCCCTGTCTGTATTCCTCTTTCCACGCCCAGAGACTTCTAAAGAGCACCCCATCTTCCCCCACACCCGGGGTGTGAGAGAGGGAAACAGACCTAGAGAGGGAAGGTTTGCTTGAGCCAACTCAGCAAGTCCAGAATAGATGGCCATACCCAGCTCCCCAGACCCCCCACCCCCACCCCCACCCAGGATGAAGTCCTCTGGGCCATGCCTCCCTAGGATGCCCACACTCCAGTAATTCCCCTCCCCCACCCCGCACCCCTCCACCCCACCTGGGAGGCAGGGGACCCTTGGGCTCTCACTCCCTGTCCTGCTGAGCTGGTCATTAGACTTTAGACATTGCCAGTGCTTAATGAGTTTGGCCAGGAACATGGACACTTGTGGTGGGGGATGGGCAGAGTCCTGGTTTGGGGAGGAGCGAAGGGGCTTGGCAGTTCCCCAGCATCACCAGGGCCCCTCTGGCTGGGCCTCTACCAGGCAGGGCTGGGAGTATTGTGTTTGGAGTTCTGCCAGTGTGCTGTGGCCAACACCAGACCTCCGATGCCTCCACCCCTGGGGGCCATCATGGCCGGCGTGGGAGACACCTCTGGGGTCGAATAAGGGGGTCTCTCCCAGCTACTAAGCAGCGGAGTCTAGATCTGAGTCAAGGTCCTGGGTTCCGCCTGCTACCTGAGCTCTGTGACCTCAGGCAAGTGTCTTAACCTCTCTGTGCCTCAGCTTCTTTATCTGTGAAAATGGAGATTGTGGAGGCACCTACCTCTTGGAGTCGTGGGGAGCGTTAAATACAATTTTGGAGTGATTTGCCCCGGGGCTGGGTGCGGCGGGCACACAATACACATTCACAAAGCCGAGGGGACAGTGTAGATGGGGCGCTTGGCAGGGCCTGATCACGGTGGGTGCTTCGTGAGCAAAAGCAGCATCACTTTTGTTAAAATCCTTGCACTCGTCTCTGTCTTCCCTACTTGAGAGGCAGCTGCTTCACCGGATCCCCTGGGGTTTGGGTGTCTGCGTTCCCATCCTTCTTCCCTCTTTAGCAGCTGTGTGACCTTGAATGAGTCTGTTGACCTCTCCTCCTCTGGGCTGGCCTTGTTCCCCCCACCCACCTTCAAGGGCCGGGGATGGTGCTGGTGCAGTGCTCGCCTCCCACACGTGCACCTGGCGGTCCGGCTGGGGAGGTAGAAACGTTTGCTTGTTTTCTCAGCCCGGAGCGGAGCAGGACAGGGGCTACTGTCCGGGGCCCTCCCAGCTGGTGGGAGGGGTTTCAATGTGGGCCCCTGGCCAAGATTTGTGCGTTTTTTAAGCCAAAAATACTGTTTGAGCCTGAGAAATCTGATCACTGCATAAAGCTGTCAGCCCAAGAGCAGAGTGGGACGTGGAAGAGTGTCCATGGTTCTCGTGTCTGGGTCAGTCCCCCCGGGACTGCAGGCTGTAGTTGAGTCCAGCAGTCTGCTCTGTGGGCCCCTCCTCAAATTCACAGCCTCTTAGGTTTCCCTGAGTTCCCAGGGCTGGCAGGTGAGGGCACACGGCTACAGATCCTGGCGTCCTCACTTGAGCATCCAGCCTGAGCTCCCACCTGGGCAGCCCCGCAAACCAAGGGGTCTTCCTTGTTGTGGTTGAATGCCCGCAGGGACAGGGAGCTTACTACCAGTGACAGCAGTAGGCATCAGAATGCTTTTACTTAGAGCGAGACCAAATCTACCTCTCCGGGATAATTTGAAAATTGTTGTAATAAAATTGTCATTCAGGGACAATCAGCCACGTGACACAGGGGTGTCCTCCACTTTTCTATCGCGGCGACTTTCTTCCGAGGTGAGGTGACTGGTCTGAGCACCCCCATTCGATGGATGGGGAAACCGAGGCACAGAGCGGCAAGAAGACCTATTTGGCAGGCAGTGTTGGTGGAGCTAGGGTTTGGTCCCAGAGCTGGTAACAGACCCTTCCCATCCCCGTTGCAGACCATCGGGCCGGCACCTGCTTCTCGGCGCTGATTGTGGGCCACTGTGCTGGGGACCTCGCCGGCCATTACACTCAGAGGCAGTGCTGCTGCAACAGGGGCAGGTGCTGGGCTCCCGGCCCAGCCCCTGAGCCATGTCCTCCGCGGGGCTCTGGTGAGTGGCCTGGGGTTACCCCCCGCCCCCTCCCTCCTCTGCCCCCCAGAGCTGAAGATTGGGGCCCCCGGGGCATGACTGAGGGCCTGGCCTCAACCCTGCTTCCTTGCAGATGAGTTCCACCGACTGTGTGTGCAGGGGCTCCCGCTGCTACCCTCCTACCCCGGCCCCTTCCCTGGCCTCCCTGGCTTCGGATCCAACGGCGTGGGTCCTGGCCTTGGGCCCGCACGGCACAACCCCCATGGCTCCAATGGGCGTGGGGTTCCCAGCCTGGGCCTTGGCAACGCCCACATTGGTGAGGCCTGGGTCCTGGAAAGAGGCATCCAAGACCTGGGGGGGGAGGTCCCGGCCTCAGAGTGGGGGTCAGGGCTTTGGAATGGGCGTCCTGGCCTGGGCGGGAGAGATCAAAGTACCCACAGTGGTCTGGGGGGGTGTGCAGATTTGGGATCTGGGCCTCAAAGTCAGGGTTTGGGCCTTGGGTAGGGGCCTGGCCCCTGGCGGGAGGGAGGTCTCACCCCATGGTTAGGGTCGGGGCTTCTCTGAGCCCACGGTGGGGTCTCAGCCAGTGTGGGGGTCTGTGGCCAGGGCGAGACTCCAGGCGGAAGTGGGCGGGGCTGCAGCCTCAGCGTGGGCATCCGCACCCAGGCCCACACTCAGGTGCACCTGCTGTCCCCGCCCCCAGGCACAGCCACCCTGAACCAGACCATCGACATCTGCCGGCACTTCACCAATCTGTGTCTCAATGGCCGCTGCCTGCCCACCCCTTCGAGCTACCGCTGCGAGTGTCACGCGGGCTACACGCAGGACGTTCGGGGGGAGTGCATCGGTGAGTGGCGGCGGGCTGAGGGGGGCCGCGCCCCGCCGGGCTGGGGCTCAGGAGGTCCTCTGCCCACAGACGTGGACGAATGCGCCAGCAGCCCCTGTCCCCATGGAGACTGCATCAACACCCCTGGCTCCTACCACTGCCGGTGCTACGAGGGCTTCCAGGCGAAGGCGGCCAAGCAGGCGTGCGTGGGTACGGCTGCCCCTTGGTGGGGCGGGGGCTGCCCGGCCGTGGCGGGAGGAGCCTGCATCTGCGGCCTGAGCCCGAGTCTGCCTGCCCCCCCCCCCCCAGACGTGGACGAATGCCTTGCGGGCAGCAGCCTCTGCCACCGCGGCCGCTGCGTCAACACCGAGGGCAGCTTCCGCTGTGTCTGCAACGCGGGCTTCGAGCTCGGCCCCGGGGGCAAGAACTGTGTGGGTGAGTTGGGGGTAGGCGGGTGGGTAGGGGGCTTGGGGACTCCGGTGGCTGCCGGTGGGGCCCACCTTTCCGGTCTCCTCTGTGGCGCCCCCCACCTCCCTCCCTAAGACAGAGCCTTGGCTCCCACTTCTGAACCAGCCAGCCTGCACGAGGTCCTTCTAGAGCTGTGTCCGGACGCCCTGCGACCCCTCAGAGTCCCCCCGGGGACCCTTCCCGGCCTCAGCGATGCAGCTGGCTGGCGTGAGACTGTCCCAAAGTCGACCCGGGTCCTCAGGGTGGTCCTTCACCTGCCGGTGCCTGGAGGGTGACCTGCTGCACGTCCATGCCCCCCTGGCCCCTGCAACCCATCACAGACACCTCAGGGCGAGCGGCCAGCCTGGCGCCGCCACCACCCCTGGGAAGCCCTCGGCCAACTGACTCCTTCCTGAGTTCATCCCATGAATCCCAGCAGGGGCTGTCTGACCCCCCCCCCCCCCACCCCCCCCCCCCCCAACCAGTCTTGTCGCATTCTGGCTGAGAGTGTGGGATCAGGACCCTGCGGTTCGGGGAGTGTGCGAGCGCCTCGCCCCTGCTGGTGGCTGAGTGATGTGCCCGTGGGTGGACGGACACGTCCCGTCGCTTCACCCCTCAGCTGGTGGACGCTGGGGCTGTTTCCACTTCTCCCAATTATGGATAATCCTGCAAAGGACATTCATGAGCAGGTTTTTGTGTAGATCTCTCATCCCTTGCCTCGTTCCTTTCTGCTTTTTTGTAGTTCAGAACTGATACTCTGATACTCATTTCTTTCTTTCTTTTTTTTTTTTAAGATTTATGTCTTCCTTTTTTTTTTAAATGTTTTATTTATTTCTGAGAGAGAGATAGAGACAGTGTGAGCAGGGGAGGGTCAGAGAGAGAGGGAGATACAGAACCTGAAGCAGGCTCCGGGCTCTGAGCTGGCTGTCAGCACAGAGTCCGATGCAGGGCTCGAACCCACGAACTGTGAGATCATGACCTGAGCTGAAGTTGGACGCTTAACTGACTGAGCCACCCAGGCGCCCCTCTGATACTCATTTCTGCACCTACCGCTTTTCACTGAGACCATGGTCTTGTCAGCTGTTTTCCCCTTTTTAAAATTCTTTTAATGTTTATCTTAGAGAGAGTGTGTGTGTGTGAGCAGGGGAGGGGCAGAGAGAGAGGGGGAACAGAGGATCTGACGTGGGTTCAGCGCAGACAGCACAGAGCCTGAGGCAGGGCTCAAACCCACTGACCGCAAGATGATGACCTAAGCGGAAGTCAGACGCTCAACCAACTGAGCCCCCAGGCGCAAGTTTTCCCCTTTTCTTTGTTTAAGTTGAGGTGAGATTCACACCAGATAAATTTAGCCTTTAGTATATAGCTCCCAAGGTCAGGCAGCCGCCACCTCCTTTATTCAAAACAACTTGCAGCAAAATATACAATAGCCTCAAGGCATTTTGACCATTTTAAAGTGAGCATTTCGTGGCATTTAGTAAATTCAGTGTTACGTAAGCATCACCTCATGTGTACATTTTTTTGGTGGCAAAATATACATATTTACCATTTTAAACATTTTTAAGGGGACAATTTGGTGGCCTTTCGTACAGGGTGGTGCAGCCACCACCTCACTCGTTTGCCTTTGAACAAATATTTATGGGAGCACTGACCTGTGCCAGGAGGAAGGTCCGGGTGGAGCAGAAGACGCCCCCCCTCCGCCAAGCATGGCCCAGGGGAGCTCACAGTCCAGCAGACAGACTGATCTCCAAGCGCACAGAGCCAGTTGCCTAGCGGGGCTCCCAGCCCCGGAGTGGGGTCCTGGGGGCTCCGCCCTCACTCTGCTGTGCTTGGTAGAAGTGAGGGAGGGGCTGGTCTGTGGGCAGGGCCGGCACGCGAGGGGCGGGGCAGGGGGCGGGGATCCAGCGTCTCTCGGTGTCCCTAGATCACAACGAGTGTGCCACCACCACCATGTGTGCCAACGGCGTGTGCATCAATGAGGACGGCAGCTTTACGTGTCTCTGCAAATCCGGCTTCCTGCTGGCGCCTGGGGGCCGCTACTGCGTGGGTGAGGCCCTGTGGCCAGACCCCCCCCCCAGGCTGGGCCGGGAGGGGCGGGGCGGGGCCGGGACCCGTTGCAGAGCCCCGGTGCCCCCCTCCCCACCCCTGCAGACATCGACGAGTGTCAGACTCCGGGCATCTGCACGAACGGCCACTGCACCAACACCGAGGGCTCCTTCCGCTGCCACTGCCTGGGGGGGCTGGCGGTGGGCGCCGACGGCCGCGCGTGCGTGGACACCCACGTGCGCAGCACCTGCTACGGGGCCCTGGAGCAGGGCTCCTGCGCGCGCCCCTTCCCTGGCGCCGTCACCAAATCTGAGTGCTGCTGTGCCAGCCCAGACCACGGCTTTGGGGAGCCTTGCCGGCTGTGTCCTGCCAAGAACTCTGGTGAGGGTCCTGCCGCCTGGCCCTGCCTGCCTGCGTGTGTGTCCCTGTAGACCCGCCGGTTCATCACCCGGGGCGGGGGAGGGGACAGGGGTCTTGGCTCCTATGGGGTGTGGGGACATCTCTCCGCTGCTGACTCTCCCCGAGAAGAGATGGCAGGAAATTGCTGTCTCCGCTGGGGGAGGCCTCCCCGCAGCAGCGATGACCACTCCCCCCTCCCCTCCCGGTCTCTGCCACCCCAGCCGAGTTTCAGGTTCTGTGCAGCAGCGGTCTGGGCATCACCACGGATGGCAGAGGTGAGTGGCCGCGGGTGTCCGGAGAGGGCAGGGGGGCGGGGAGCTGGTTGGGCGCTCTGTCAGTTTGTTGCTGGCCAGACACCCCAGGCTGAGGGGTTACAGCCACAGAAATTTCTTCCTCCAGAGCTCTGGAGCCTCAAAGTCTGAGGTCGGCGTGTAGATGGGGCTGGTCCCCTCTGAGACTGTGATGGTCACTGGTGCATGGGTGTTCCTTAGCTTCCAGAAGGAACCCCGATTTCGGCCTCCATCTTTATGTGGGGCTCTCCTTGCGTGTGTCTGTGTCTCCCTTTTATGGGTGTGCAGTCATATTGGAATGGATTGGCAGTCCACCCTAATGACCTTGCTTTACCTGCATTACCTCTGTAAAGACCTTAGCTCCCCATAGGGTCCAGTGCTGAGGTCCTGGGGTTTAGGATTTTAACACACGAATTTGGGGAGGACACGATGGAACCCACAGAGCTAGAGATGGTGGGTGTGTGAGGCTGTGCTTTCTCCCACGCCTCCTTTCCCTCCTGAGCTTTTTTTTTTTTTTTTTTTTTTTGCCCCACTCGCTCTATAACCTCCCTGATTCCTCTCATTCCCCCCATGACCTGGGATCCCCGGCTGATCTCCCGTGGCCAGCAGGTCTCCGCGGGGCCTTTTCTGTGCAGTTGAAACCTGAAAGGACAGGAAATTGCTCGTGTGTGTGTCTCCTCATTGTTTTGCTGCACACACAACACACGCACACGCATGCACACACACACATAGAGAAACAGCCTTTCTGCCTGAGTGGTAACCAAAGGACTTAGGATACAGTTGATTTTCCACGGACTGCTGGGCCGTCGGGGGAGGTCCAGAAGTCTGGGCCACCATGCCCTCATCCAGTTAAAGGCACAGGGTTATGGCGCCCGATGCCCGGGTTCGAATCCCAGCCCTACTATTTACTGGCTGGATGACCTGAGGCAAGTTACTTACCCTGCCTCTGCTTCCGTTTCCTTGTCTGTGAAGCGGGGGTAGTAACAGGACGTTTCAAGGCTGTTGTGGGGATCAGACGAGTTAATACGCACAAAACGGTAAGCCCTCTGCAACGTTAGCAAGGATGACTGCTTTTATTTGGTACAAATATTTGCTCCATGGGCACCAGACTGAGGACGGTCCCCCACCCCCAGGAGCTTTGGCAATGTCTGGAGAAATACTGGGGAGGGTGCTCTTGGCGTTTCATGGGTGGAGGCCAGGGACGCCGGTCAGCGTCCCACAGCGCACAGGACGGCCCCCACAGCACCGAGAAACGCCGGTTTAGGGGGGAATGACGCAGGGTCTAGGCTGGAGCTCGGCCCCGCGGGGGACCTGGCTTCTGGAGACTCCTGGGAGCCGGAGCAGCCGCTCTGCCCTCTTCCTGCTGCAGACATCAATGAGTGTGCCCTCGACCCCAACGTCTGTACCAACGGCATGTGCGAGAACCTTCAGGGCAGTTACCGCTGCGTCTGCAACCTAGGCTACGAGGCGGGCGCAGCGGGCAAGCAGTGCGTGGGTGAGCGCGTGCGCAGTGGCTGGCGGGCGGCCCCCCATCCCCCACCTCTCCTCACCGCAGACCCCCTCACCCGGCTCTCCCACCCCCGCCCTGCAGACGTGGATGAGTGCGCGCGCAACAGCCTCCTGTGCGACAACGGGCGGTGCCGGAACAGCCCGGGCAGCTACAGCTGCTCCTGCCCCCAGGGCTTCAGCTTCCGGCAGGACACGGAGACCTGTGAAGGTACAGGGTCCCGGCGCACTGCGTGCAGCGTGCACACACGCACGCACGCACGGGGTGTGCTCCCACACAGGCTCACACGCATTCGAAACACTTATGCATGCTGCGTGCGCCATATACACACACACCGTCAGACACTCATGCGTGCGTGTGCGACACTCATGCGTGCTGTGTGCACACGCACATACTCAGACACATGCTGCATGTGCTGTGTGCACGCACACAGACGCTTCTGCAGGCTGCGTGTGCACACAGGCACACAGTGCATCGCACACACATTGAATGTGGCATGTACACACGGGTGTACATGCTCAGACACTTGCACGTGTGGCGTGTGCACAGACAGGCAGAAAGATGCATTATGCTCGTTTACACACACATTCACACTCAAGTAACTCAAAAACAAATAAATTCATGAGGTGGTCTCAAAGTTATAAACACTCATCGTAGCATGCACTTACACACACAAGCCCCCATTCACACACTAACTTATTCTCACGCTTTACACGCTTGTACTCACAGCCACAGTCCTACCCTGAGAGGCACACCCTTGTGCATGCATTCGGACATTAATACATTCACATGTGAGTGCATACAGCCACTCAGTTACACGGACTGGCACTCAGAACACACACACACCCATATTCACACTCACAGACGTGCCCACACAGCCGCACACACTCAGGCACACGCTCAGATGTGTGTGCCCACGCCCTCATGCCTTCATACACGTAGATGTGTGTTCACACCCACGCACTTGCACACACGCTCCCATGCGTGTTCAAGCACGCACACACTTTGGATCGATGTCCTTGTTCCCCAGCGCTCCCGTGGCATGTTCCCTCCGCATGACCCCACCCCTCCCTGGGCCTCTGTCTTCTCTCCCTCCTCCCACCCCTGGCAGCCCAGCTGACCTCACTCCAGAGCAACTCCTGTCCCCGATAACCCTGCCCCACCCCACCCAGCCCCTGCAGCTGCCCACAGCCTGCTCCCGGCCACAGCCCGGCCCCTCCTCTCTGGCCTTTCCCCCTGCCCCTGGGTTGTGTCCTCTCTTGCCTGGTGACTCCCCTGAGGGCCACTGTTCCCACCGTGTCTGTCCCTCTATGTGACATGTGGTGCTCCCAGGACCCCGCACGTCAATGTGCTTGCAAGAGCGCACAGCATGGTTCCGTGTGAGCATTGAGCGTGCGTGCCTGTGCATTTCCATTCCCGTGTGCCCTGGCTGCGTGCTCATGCCGTGCCTGTTCAAGTACGTGCGTGGACACGCGTGTACCTGGGGGCGTCCTATGTCACTGGACCCCGGCGACCACTAGGGAGATGGGGGTCCTGGGCAGCCGGGGCTCCCCCTCCCATAGCTCAGGACCCGGTGGGGGACTGTCCTTGCAGACATCAACGAGTGCCTGTCCGACCCGTGTGTAAATGCTGTGTGCCGGAACCTGGCTGGTTCCTATGCCTGCGAATGCGCCCCTGGCAGCCGGCTGGGGCCGTCCGGCACCGTGTGTCTAGGTGAGAGCTCCCGGGACCCTGCTGCCCAACCCCGTGCCCCACTCCGGGAAGGCCAGGCCGCTGTGGGTCTCTGTGCTGGTGCGGGCCGGCAGGTGACGTGGGTGACCCCCTCCCCTGCAGACAGCACCAGGGGCACCTGCTGGCTGCAGGTCCAGGACGGCCGCTGTGAAGCGAACCTGCGCGGAGCCTCCCTGCGGTCCCAGTGCTGTGCCACCCTGGGGGCCGCCTGGGGGAGCCCCTGCGAACGCTGCGAGTCCGGTAATGTCCCAGGAGCCCCCCCGGGGGAGTGCTTGGGGACCTCCCGGCTGTGGCCACTGTGGTCGCCTGGGTGCCCATTGAGAAAGCAGGGGTCTGGACAGAGAAAGTGACTCCCATGCCCACTCTGGTTTTCCAACCACAGACCCCGCCTGCGCCCGCGGATTTGCCCGCCTGACGGGGCTCACCTGCGAAGGTAACTCCCTGTCCCTCTGTGCTCCGCCCCTGCCCGGGAGCTGCACACGGGCAGGGGTGTGTTGTGGGGGGTGCCTGGGGTCCTGAAGTCTTTAGAGATGGAGGCAGAGATTCCCTCCTTGAGGTCTTCCCCGAGATTCCCCAGCCGGGGCTGGCACGGTCCCCTTCCTGCCTCCCCAAGGACAGTCTGGGTGTTCTGAACCCCCGGGGGTGGGCAGTTCCAGTTCGGGCCTCTCCCCTTTTTCCGTCCCTGCCCAGATGTGAATGAGTGCGAAGTCTTCCCTGAGGTCTGTCCCAATGGGCGCTGCCTCAACACTGCCGGCTCCTTCCGCTGTGAGTGTCCCGATGGGCTGACGCTGGACGCCACCGGCCGCCTCTGTGTGGGTGAGTCCCTGCGAGACTGTGCGGGGCAGCCCCCCCTCCCACCATGGCCCCCACGCTAGTGCCTGGAGACCCCTTCTAGGGACAGAAGGGAAGTGGGAGAGGGTCCCCTGGGACCCTCTGCTCCCTGCTCACTTCTTGTCTCAGGAGACATTTGTTTGGGGGTCTCACCCTTTCACCTAACTGCCCTTTAACAAGGCTTGCTGCTGACGGGAAGCTCTTGCCAAATAGCATCTGCAGGATTTCTTCATTCTTTCTCGTTACCAAAAAGGTTTACACGGGGCGGGGCGGCTCCCCGGGCACCTCTAGCATGCCCAGAATCTCCCTCAGCATCCAGGGCTCAAACACTCACTCTGAATGGCTCTCCATCAGCCTCAGAGATCTGAGACGTTTCCCCCCTGGCTGAGGGTTTCTTGACTTTGCCACTGTCCACATCTTTTTAAAAGATTTTTTTCAAGCGTTTTTATTTATTTTAATTAAAAAATTTTTTTAATATTTTATTTATTTCTGAGAGAGAGAGAGGCAGCGTGAGCAGGGGAGGGTCAGAGAGAGGGGGAGACACAGAATCTGAAACAGGCTCCAGACTCTGAGCTGTCAGCACAGAGTTCGACGCAGGGCTCGAACCCACCAACCGTGAGATCATGACCTGAGCCGAAGTTGGATGCTTAACCGACTGAGTCACACAGGCGCTCCAAGTGTATTTATTTTTGAGAGAGACAGAGACAGGATGAGCAGGGGAGGGGCAGAGAGAGAGAGAGAGAGAGAGAGAACCCCAAGTGGGCTCCACGCCTGATATGGGGCTTGAACTCATGCAACTGTGAGATCACACCCTGAGCCAAAACCAAGAGTCACACGCTTCATCAACTGAGCCACCCAGGCCCCCGCCGCTGTCCACATCTTGAAGTAGACATTGCTGTCGGGGTCCCTCCTGTGGTTGGCTAGTAGCCTCCTCGTAGGCGCCTTCTCAACCTTGCTTGGTGTCTGAACCGAGTTTTAGGCATGCAGTGGGCCTTCTCACTAGCCCCAGAATCTAACCAAGGAAAGAAAGTAATCGAGGAAAGAGAAAAAAGCCATCGTATTGTAGGACCCGTGAGCTGAATTCAGGGCCGGGTGAACCGGGAGGCACTGACTCGGGCCCCATCTGCTCAGATGTGACCATTAGACCTGGGCCAGGGCACCGGGAACAAGACAGGATCCCTGTGTGTGTGGCGGGGTCCCCAGAGGTTCTTGAGGCCGAGGTTCTAGAAGGTCTCCTCTTCAAACTGACCTGCCTACACGGGAGTTCCTTGGGTAAACAGATGTTTTCCTAGACCAGGGGTTCAGCAAACGTTTTCTGCAAAGGGCAGGAGTAAATATATGTGGCTTTGCGGACCACGCAGTTCCTCTTGAAGCTACGGAGGTCTGTCGTGTAGCGCAAAAGCAGCCACAGGCAATATGGAAACAAAGGGATATGGCTGTGTGTCAATAAAACTTTATTTATAAAAACAGGCAGTTTGCAGTTAGGCTGCCTTAGACTCTTGTTTCTGGTCTTGACGAAGGCGTATCTGGCGTCAGATTGTCTTGAGGGCATTTTGTAGATTAAACACACTCTCTAGAGCCGGATGGCCTGGCACGAACATGGTTCTGCCTTTCGTGCTGTGTGGCCATAGGCAAGCTACCTAACTCCTCTGAGCCTTAATTTGTTTGCCCGTAAAATGAATGTGATGCTAATAGTTTCATCTTGATGTTTATTTTGAGGATCGCATGGGTTGGGGAGCTCAGAACAGCGCCCAGAGCCCATAGCAAGCACCTTAACACCGCGCGTTATCACCTTTGAAATGTAACTGTTGGATGACAGGGTTGTGGAAATGTCGAGAATGGCTGGAGGAAGTCACTCCCCTGCGCCCTTCCTGTTGGGGAGGGAGTCTGAGACAGGTGCTGCTGAGGGAGACCTTATCGCCTGTGCGTGGCAGGGGTGGGACCTGGTGACTGTCCCTCCGTGTAGACATGCGCCTGGAGCCTTGTTTCCTGCATTGGGATGAGGATGAGTGTGGGGCCGCCCTGCCCGGCAAATACCGGATGGACGTCTGCTGCTGCTCCGTGGGGGCTGCCTGGGGGGCCGAGTGTGAAGCCTGCCCAGAGCCCGAGTCCCCGGCATTTGCCAGCCTGTGTCCCCGGGGCCTGGGCTTCGCCAGCCAGGACTTCCTGTCAGGCCGGCCCTTCTATAAAGGTGTGTTTGGGCGCGGGGAGCCTGGAGGATGGGGAGAGGGCACAGCACAGGCAAAGGCCCTGTGGTTGGGGAAGTGTGTTTGGGAGACAGCAGTGCGTCAGAGGTGTGCAATCCCAGGGCAAGCCCAGGGACCCTGGAGGCGTCGGACTGACGTCATGTGCTCCCGCACCGCAGATGTGAACGAGTGCAAGGCCTTCCCTGGCCTCTGCGTGCACGGTGCCTGCCGCAACACCGCGGGCAGCTTCCGCTGCTCCTGCGCGGGGGGCTTCGCTCTGGATGCCCAGGGAAGGAACTGCACAGGTGTGTGCCCACCCCGGGGGCGCCTGCGGGAGCTTCGAATCGGACGTGGGATCCAAACGCGTTCTTTATCCTGCTGCCAGCCCGCTGTGTGACCCAGGGCAGCTTGCCACCCTCTCTGGTCCTTGGGGCCCACAGAGGCGACCTCCGGGGGAGGACGTTCCCTGTCCTCCTCTAGTGTGCGGCCACTGCACCTCCGTCCCCTCCCCACGCAGCTCGGCAGCTCGGGCCCCCACCCCCACCCCGTGTAGCCTCAGTGTCTACAGGCGTGGAGGCCGGCCTGCCCCTCTCTCCCCAGACATCGACGAGTGCCACATCTCCCCCGACCTCTGCGGCCAGGGCACCTGTGTCAACACCCCGGGCAGCTTCGAGTGTGAGTGCTTCCGTGGCTACGAGAGCGGCTTCATGCTGATGAAGAACTGCATGGGTGGGTGGCCGCAGGGCTGTTGTGCGGGGCCCCCCGGCAGGGGGACGCCTGTGGGGTCTCGGGGCTGAGGGGGGGTGACGGTGGGGGCGTTGTCGTGATAGGCAAGGTTGGAGGGGCAGGTGTGGGCAGAAGCTGAGACCCAGCGAGTCTGGGCACGAGGCAGTGGCATCCCCAAGGTGGCCGGACATCGGGTCTGTCATGCAGCATTGAGGCCAAGGGACCCAGATTTGGGTGAGTCCTCCCAGAGCAGGGGTTAGCGTGAGAAGAGGAGGAAGGCAGAGGAGCCCCACTCTCCTTCCTCCCTCCTCCCTCCCTCCCTCCCTCCTCCCCCCTCCCTCCCTCCCTCCTCCCCCCTCCCTCCCTCCCTCCTTCCTCCCTCCCAGCCTCCCTCCCAGCCTCCCTCCCTGCCTCCCTGCCTGCCTTCACTTTTTTATTCATTCAGTGAGCATTTCACGTGCCTCTACTAAAGGGAGCCACAAGGAGCTCAGTAGCAGACAGCCTGGCTCTCAGAGCTCATGACCTGATGGGGAGACTGATGTTGATAAAATTAAGTCCTGGAGAAATGCAAAATGGTTGCTGTGAGAAGCTCTTGAGAGGGCCACGCGCTGGGGGAGAGTGTGGTCCCCAGGGACGTGTCCTGTTCTGTGGGGCTTGCGGTTGTGGCTGAGAGTGGGAGCAAATGTGGTGAAGAGGGGCTGCAAGAGCAGCCTGAAGGGAGAGCAGCAGGTGCAAAGGCCCTGGGGTGGAAGGAGGTACACGAGGCTGGAGTGGGAGGAGGGGAGTGGGAGAGCCTGCCCTGCGGATGCTTGCACCTTGCCCTCCCGCAGGGCCCTGCAGGGTTCTTCTCAGGGCCTCCTTCAGGGCCTCGGGGCACGTGAGCCTCTCCTGAGGATCCAGCTTCCTTGCTGGGCTGGCCTGACCCCGCTCCTCCCAGCTCACAGCCCGTCAAGCCCGAGCCTCCAGGCTCTCCTGGCCACAGCCAGTGATGGGCCGGGGACGGCAGGGAGAAGCCTCCGTGAGCCACACCATCCTGGTCAGTGTCTTCACACCCGCTCTCTCTTCCACGCGCACAGACGTGGACGAGTGTGTGCGGGACCCGCTGCTGTGCCGGGGAGGCACCTGCTTCAACACGGAGGGGGGCTACCAGTGCCAGTGCCCCCCCGGGCACACGCTGACGGCCAAGGGCACCGCCTGTGAGGGTGAGTGTGCGACGGGCGTGCAGCCAAGAGCGGGTGCGCACACGAGGTAGCAGGAGAGCACGTGCGTGTCTGTGAGTGTGCAGTGCAGATGTGTAGGTGTGTGTCTGGATGTGTCCACACAAGAGTGAGTGTGCAAGTGGGTGTTCATCTGTGTCTCCATGAACTTGCGGGAGGGTTTCTCAGTGTGGAAGTGTATTTGCTCCTGGGTGAGTGTGTTTGCAGGAGGGTGGGTCCCAGTGCATGTGTGTGCCCGTGTGAGTGTGGGAGAAGGCATGAGTGTGCCTCTGGGCGTGTGTTTACACAAAGGCAAGGTGGGGTGAGACGTGTGTTTGTGAGTCCATGTGAGTGCACATCGTGTGAGTATTTACATGGTTATGAGTGTGTGTGTACCAACAACAATTGTGCCTGCGTGAGTGGGTGTGAGGGTGTGCTTGTGTGGGAGCCCATGTGAACTGGGAGGGTGTGTTTGTGCCTGCGTGGGCTTGCACAGGCCTGTACTGTGAGCGTTGGTGTGCACGTGCGTCTGAGTGTCTCGGGGACACGTGGGTGGCAGAGGGCGCCCCACGCTCACCGGCCACGTGCTCCCCCCAGATGTTGATGAGTGTTCCCTGAGTGACGGCCTGTGTCCTCACGGCCACTGTGTCAATGTCATCGGGACCTTCCAGTGCTCCTGCCACGCGGGCTTCCAGAGCACGCCTGACCTCCAGGGCTGCATGGGTGAGACACGCCCGCCGGCCCCACGTGGGCGCCGGCCCCCAGCCCCCTGCCCCAGCGCCGGCCACCGTGGCGGTCCTTCCCGGCCTCAGCCCCGGACCCCACACCTGCCCCTGTCAGCCCCATGCTCCAGCCTGCCCTGCGGCCGCACCCCTCCACCTCTGTCCTGCCTCCCACAGATATAAACGAATGCCACACCGGGAACGGTGGCTGTGACGTGCACTGCACGAACACCGAGGGCAGCTACCGGTGTGGCTGTGGACACGGCTACTCACTGATGCCCGATGGGAGGGCGTGTGCAGGTGTGTGGGACGGGGCACCTGACCTAGCTTGGCCCAGGCGAAGCCGGCCCGACCCGGGGACAGGCCGCTGACCCCGTGGCGAGGTCCCCGGGGCTGCCCCTCTGTCCCTGCCCGCCTGCAGCCCAGCCCCCACCTCTGCTCCCGCAGACGTGGATGAGTGTGCGGAGAACCCGGACATCTGCGATGGAGGCCAGTGCGCCAACGTGCCGGGGGGCCACCGCTGCCTGTGCTATGACGGCTTCGTGGCCACGCTGGATGCGAGGGCGTGTGCTGGTGAGGAGCCAGGACCGTGGGCTGGAGGACACGGCGTCTGACCTCACACACCCGAGGGGGCGCGTGGGCAGGACAGACCCCGGGTCCCGTCCCCGCCATGTGCAGGCGAGGGAGACGGCTCTGCTGCAGGTCGCAGCGGTCTGCGCGTGGCCTCCGGTGCCCAGAGCAGACCGCCATGCGCCAGAGCCCGGGGGCTCGGATCCACAGCAGCAGATGCCCTGAGCCTCGCTCTTGAAGTATGTCTGTGGAGCACCGCTGTGTACCTGATGTGTGCAGAGGTCCACGCCCCGTTCCTGGGGCTACGGTTCAAGATCGTTGGGCGCCGAGGCGCTTTATGCAGAGGAGGGCCAGCTAGATGGGAAGAGACCTCGGAACTGAGCCCTGCTCGGGGACCCCGGACCCTTCAGGCCGTGGTGACTGTCTTCTCCTGGCCGTGGGGCGTCATGGGGCCCCGGGAGCAGATGTGCCACAGGTGCCCCATCAGGGCAGCACGGGGGCACCAGTGGGGAGGTTCCAGGAAGGTGTAATCTGCCCCCCCCCGCCCCCAAGAAGACATGTGCAGCCCAGTGCATCCCAGTTAGGGTTCCAGATCACAGGAATATTAGGAAGCACTGAAACGCCTTGGGCCAAATAAAATAGGGAACCCTTTTACTGCTCCACACCCTTTTGGCAGGTCCGTATTGGCGTAAAGGCTCTGAAAAGGCCTGTAAAAAAACCCCGGCGGTCTTTATCTAACTCTGAGTGCTCTAACTGTCCTCGGCTACAAACTCTTTTTGGGGACACGTGCCCCATATGTACCATGGAGTGTGCGCTGGAAAACGTGGGCGTGACACTCATCGGTACCCCGTGGCGGAGCCAGAAAGGGCCCCGCAGTCCTGGAGATGGGCACCGAGAGGTTCCGTGCAGGGGAGCTGCGTGGAGGGCACTCCGCGACACCCGTGCACCCCCTCGGCCCTCACCTGCTTGCCTTCCTGTCTCCCCACAGACGTGAATGAGTGTGACCTGAACCCCCACGTTTGCCTCCATGGGGACTGTGAGAACACAAAAGGCTCCTTTTTCTGCCACTGCCGGCTGGGCTACGTCATCAGGAAGGGGGCCACGGGCTGCTCCGGTGAGCTGGCGGTCAGTAGTGTAGCGCGGGGGGCTCCGAGGGGCCAGCTCAGGGGTCGTGGGGTCTGCCCCGTGCCTGGGGGCTGAGCGCAGCCAGACCTCATCCTCCTAGATTTCCATGGGCAGGGCCTTGGAAACGGTTAAAGCGGGAGCAGGACCCAGTCAGGTCCTGGGGCCCCCCTTCAGCGCGCAGCTCTGCGGGGGGCGCTGTGTAGCCCCGGGTGTCCGTGGCAGCGGTCCCCAAGCATCCCAGCCTGATGACTGGACGCGCTACGGAGGCAAACATTTCCACAGTTCATTAGTCACTGACTTAGGCTCCTAAGCGCTGCCGTTAACAATTCCCACCAACCCGGTGTCTCAGATCCACAAAAACGTATTCTCTGTCCGGAACGGTTCTGGAGGCCAGAAATCTGAAATCAGCACGTCTGCAGGGCTGGGGCGCTCAGAGGGGGACTCTGTCCCACGCCTCTGCTGCCTTCTGGTGGTGGCCAGGAGTCCTCTGCGTGCCTTGGCTTGTCAGTGTGTCCCTCTGAGTCTGTCTCTCATGGGCTGTCTCTGTGTCTGGGTCCCAACTGCCCTCTCACAAGAATGCCGGTCACTGGATTAGGGCCACCATAATCCGGGACGACCCCATCCTAACTTGGTTACATCCACGCAAAGACCTTGTTTCCAAATAAGGTATTGTTCATGGCTTCCGGGAATCCGGACTCGAATGTATCTCTCTGGAGGACGCAAAGATACGGTGATACGGTTATTTCAATGTGTGTCAGAATCCTACGTGGTGTAACAGCCTCCGATCCGTGGCTTTAGAAGGATCGGATTAGAATGTCGTTTAGAAGGAAATCCTGCTTTAGAGTGAGGACGTTTGGGACACCTTAGGACAGTTACTCAAGTCACCCCAAGCTTCTCAGATCCTGCCTCAGATCACTTCAGAGGGCTGCTGGGAGCCTTTTGGGTTTGGGGGTTTTCCTCCTGGGCTCTGGGTGGCGGGGGAAGCCACTGAGGTGGGTGGGGGGCTTTCTGGGCCAGCTCCCCCCTCCCCGGGAGGGTCCTTGCCCTTTCCCTGCTGCTGTAGTTCCTCCCTACTCTGCACCCGAAGCCCTATTTCTGCAAAGCCCAGGCTTTGTGGGGATGCTGTGTCCTCCTCTCCTGGTGCGGTCCCTCCTGTGACCGGGTCCCTGTCCTTGCAGATGTGGATGAGTGTGAGCTTGGGGGACACAGCTGTGACAGTCACGCTTCCTGCCTCAACGTCCCGGGGAGTTTCAGCTGCAGGTGCCAGCCAGGCTGGGTGGGGGATGGCTTCGCATGCCACGGTGAGTGCCTGGGGGCCGGCGGTCTGGGCAGAGCAGCTGAGGTGGGTGGGGGCGCCAACAGGAGACGGGGCGATAGGGGAGGGGTCTGGGCCCAGGGGTGTCGGGGGGGGGTCGGGCAGGGCCGAGATTGGAGATGTGCACACTTGGGGGCCCCCGGGCTCCGTGTCCTGCAGACCTGGATGAATGCTCCTCCCGGGAGCACCAGTGCAGCCTGCGAGCCGACTGCCTGAATGCTCCCGGCTCCTACCTCTGTGCCTGCCACCAGGGCTTCACCGGGGACGGCTTCTCCTGCGAAGGTGAGAGCGGGGTGGGGTCCGAGAGGACAGCCACCGGGCTGGGTTCCACCTCACAGCGATCCCAGCCGGCACCCCACACTGGGGTGCCAGAGAGGATGCGGCTTCATCCCCGCGGGGCCACGGCTGAGTCACCAGGGAGGGGGGCGTCTTCTCCCCTGGATTCTGCACAGAACCTTCTGGACATGGAGTGCAGGAACACCCAGGAAGTGGAGGTCCCCTGTCTACCCGAGTCGGGGTCTGAGTTCCCGGTACTCCCCGGAACCCTGGGTGACCACGCAGAGTGTGATCGGGCCCCCTGCCTGCCCCGAGTGGGTCCTGGCCAGCAGGCCCCCAGCCCTCTGCCTCTCGGGGTCCCACAGACAGGGACGAATGTGCTGAGGACGTGGACCTCTGTGAGAACGGGCAGTGCCTCAATGCCCCCGGCGGGTACCGCTGTGAGTGCGAGATGGGCTTCAGCCCCACAGAGGACCACCATGCCTGCCAGGGTGAGGCCTGGGGCTGCTGGGCCGGGGGAGGGGGGCGCAGCAGGAGCAGGCTGCCAGGCAAGGCGGGCTGACCTGGGGTCCCCACAGATGTGGACGAGTGTGTTCTCGGGAACCTCTGTGTGTTCGGGAGCTGCAAGAACCTGCCTGGAATGTTCCGCTGCGTCTGCAGCGAGGGCTACGAGCTGGACCGCGGTGGCGGCAATTGCACAGGTGTGGGGTCAGCCAGGCTGTGGGGGTGGGAGGGGGGTCAGGGCTCACTGCCTCCCTGCCCTCAGATCTCTTCTCGAATGTTCTATTCTGAGGGTGGGGTTTGTATGATCCCCCCATCTCCAGATGATCCCCGTTCCCATCAGCCTCCTCCATTGACATCTGTTATCTCCTGAATAAATGCAGTGAATGAATGAAGGTGTGCTTCCTCCACTACTGCCATCAGAATGATCTCCCACTTACATATTTAAAATGGAGTCAGCAGACTTTTCCGGCAAAGGACCAGATAGGAAATATTTTTGGCTTTCCAGCCATACAGGCTCTGTCACAGCTACTCAACTGCCTGGTAGCTCAGAAGCAGACACACACAGGCAGTATGTAAATGAGTGGGTGTGGATGTGTGCCAATAAAACTTTATTTACACAAACAGGCAGGGGGCCAGCTTTGGCCCACTGATAATAGCCTCCCAACCCGTGGCTTGAAAGCATGTTCTAGCTGTTGGGCGTTGTGGGTTGGCTGTGTGGAATCCACGGCACAGGAAACTTTCAAGGGGCAAACCTCCATGCCCAGTGGAACAGAACGGGGAGGAGAGGAGGGAGGATGGGGTCAGACAAACCAGGGCAGACCCTGGAGGCTGCTGTCTCTTCGGGCTTTCTTCCCAGGGGCGGACATGGCCTCACTCCCCAGCCCACATCCGACACTGAGGGCTTCAGCTTCCCAGGAGGAGGGCAGGAGGGAAGTGGATGGAGGGAGGACTCCCCGCTGACGGCATCGCCTTCCCCCTCCCCCACCAACAGATGTCAATGAGTGTGCAGACCCTGTGAACTGCATCAATGGCCTGTGTGTCAACACCCCCGGCAGCTACCTCTGCAACTGCCCCCAGGATTTTGAGCTGAACCCCAGCGGGGTGGGCTGTGTGGGTGAGTAAGCCCTCGGCCCCAGCTTGGGACCTGACAGCAGGTGAGTTGGGCGGAAACAGGGCCTTTGCTGGCCCCTGGTCAGGGCCACTGAGCCTGTGTTCTAACACACACTTCCACTCTCAGGGCACACGCGTGTGCACACACACACACACCTCCAGGCCCTGGCCTGGAACAGCGTCCCTGCCCATTTGTTCAGACACCCCCTTCTGTCCCTGTGCTCTAACCACTCTTATGTACATGTACACACACAGTCACGTGTGTGCACATATCCACACATACAGAGGTGCAACCGTACACTCAGGGACGCATGCGCACTGGGCCGCGAGTCAGAGCCACGCCCACAGGCACGCACGCGCACTGGGCCGCACACATAGTTACCCACAGAGGTGTGGCCGCACGCGTGCTGTTCTCTCCTGCCCCTTGCTAACCACCCCTTTCTGCCTGTTCAGACACCCGGGTCGGGAACTGTTTCCTGGACACGCATGACCGAGGGGATGGTGGCATCTTCTGCACAGCTGAGATCGGGGTTGGCGTCACCCGAGCTTCCTGCTGTTGCTCCCTGGGACGGGCCTGGGGTAACCCGTGTGAACTGTGCCCGATGGCCAACACCAGTGAGTCTCCGGGTTGGGGGGGACACAGGCGAGCGCTCCCCGGGACTTCGGGGGTCACTTCACTAAGGGAGGGACATGGAGAACCAGAGGGGGACTCAGGCTCGCCCTGAGTCCCACAGCGTATCTTTAGCAGTTCATCGGCTCTGTCTCCTCTCTCAGCGTCTCTCCGTCCTTCCTCCCAGCAAATTCCCTGTGTTTCTTTTCGCTTGCTCTCTCAGTCCGTCAGCCAGCAAACATTGAGAGTTCCTCAGTGCCCTGTGCAAGGGCTGGGGACCCAGAGCAGGATGAACCCCAGCAGGGCACACTGACCCTCACCCGTAAACCGGTGGCCCCTGGGCTGTGGGAGTGGGGCTACTCAGTGGTGGCCGTGGAGAGGAAGACGATAAAGGAAGACTTCTCAAGACAAGGGGCTTAAATGAGGTTTTGAAGGATGAGTAGGAGTTTTCCAGGCAGAGTGGGGGGAAGTGTGTGTGATGCAGTGAGAACAGCATGTGCAACGGCCTCAGGTTCACACACCTGTCCACCTGTTTAGATGTGTATGTGTGTGTGTGTGTGTGTGTGTCCGTGTGTGTGTGATATCCTGGGTCTTTCTTTCAGTGGGGGAAACTTGCAGTCACACTGGTCTGGTTTTGGATCAGAAGGAATCACCTGCCTCCACCCCCGGCTACTAGCACACAGTCCATCTGTTCCTATGTTGAATGTGAACACATGTTCACACACACACACACACACACACACACGCACTGCCCCCTCTTCCCAGATTGGCCAAAGTCTCTGGGCGTCAAGAGGCTGAGGAGGTGAGGGGATGTAATGGTGTGGTAGAAGGATGCAGGACCCATTCTGGAGCCCTTTTTGGGAGACCTCAACCCCCCTGCCTCCCCTGGGCTTCGCCTATATGTCCCACCTGACAGGCCCTCAGAACAACCCGTTTCCCTTGCAGCCGAGTACAGAACCTTGTGCCCGGGGGGCGAGGGCTTCCGGCCCAACCCCATCACTGTCATTCTGGAAGGTGAGTCCTGGCAGGCCATCCACTTGCGTCGTCACCAACTGAGCTTTTTCTCATCCCTGCCTCGCCAGGGTGCACAGGGCAGGGCAGGGGGCGCATCCTCCCTCCTCAACGCCCGGCAGTGAGACTAAATTGTTCTTAGTTTTTGGTAAAGTTTTTGTTTTTTATTTCATCCAGCTTTTCTTCCACCTGTTGGTTTAGTGATTCATCCTTCCACCCACCCACCCATCCATCCATCCATCCATCCACCAACCAGCCATCCATCCACCCATCCATCCATCACCCACCCACCTATCCATCCATTCATCCATCCACCAGCCAGCCAGCCATCCACCCATCCATCCATCCCCCACCCACCCACCCACCCATCCATCCATCCACCAGCCAGCCAGACACCTATCCATCCATCCCCTATCCACTCATCCATCCATCCATCCAACCATCCATCCATCTATCCTTCCATCCTCCAGCCAGCCAGCCACCCATCCATCCATCCCCTATCCACCCATCCATCCATCCATCTATCCATCCATCCTCCAGCCAGCCAGCCAGCCAGCCACCCATCCATCCATCCATCCATCCATCTATCCATCCATCCTCCAGCCAGCCAGCCACCCATCCATCCATCCATCCCCTATCCACCCATCCATCCATCCCTCATCCAATCACCTACCTATCCATTCATCCATCCCCCACCCACCCACCCCTACACACATATATTCCTTATTCACCCACTCACCAGCTGTCCATCCATCCTACATCCAGCCACCCACCCACCCACCCATCCACCCATCCCCCATCCAACCACCCATCCACCCATCCATACATATATTCTTCATTCACCCACCCACCCATCCATCCTTCCCTCCTCCATCCACACATGTATACTCCTCCATTCACTCATCTACTCATCTACCCACTCCCCATTCATAAATTCTCCATCCTTAACCCTTCCTCCTTCCCTTCCTTTCTCCCACTATCCTCCCTCCCTCCCTTAATTCCTTCCTGTCTTCCATGCATACATACATCATCCATCTACTCACCCACCCACGCACCCATCCATCCATCCACTTATCCATTTTGTCATTGGCTCACTTCTTATTCAACCACCATTTTTTATATCCATCCATCCATCTTTTTTTTTTTTTTTTAAGAATAAGCTCTGTGGGGCTTGAACGCATGACTCCAAGATCAAGAGTCGCATGCTGTACTGATTGAGCCAGCCAGGCGCCCCTCATCCACATCCATCCTTTATGCCCAGGGGGTGATAAGATAGGAGAATTCTATCCAGACGGAACTATGTGATGGATGGGTAGGTGAATGGGTGGATGGGAGGCTGGAGTAGGAAATGAAGAGAAAGGGGGTGAATTCAGGGTGACATTGACTCCAGAGGGTCTAGGCGCAGCCTCCAGACGGACCCTGGCCCGAACCCTCCACATGGCCCAGGGCTCTCAGGTGTTCTCGAAGAAGCAGGACTGTCTCCTCCAGGGCCGAGGAGAGCCCCAGGCAGGGTGTGGGTGTCCCCCGAGGCCTCTGCTTGGGTTTAACAGCCAAGCACGGCCTCTTCACTTCCTGACAGACATCGATGAGTGCCAGGAGCTGCCCGGGCTGTGCCAGGGGGGCGCCTGTGGCAACACCTTCGGCAGCTTCCAGTGTGCGTGCCCACCCGGCTACCACCTCAATGAGGACACCCGCATCTGTGAGGGTGAGTGTGCGCCTTCCTCCCTGGCCTCGCCTCCTCCTCGGGTGCCGGGGCCTGAAATGCGTTCAGGGGCCCCACTCACCTGCCTTGCTGCCTGGGGGCCCATTAGGAGGGTGGGAAGCTTCATCGGAACCCCCAGCCTGCCCTCTGCTCTCTGCTGCCACCCTTTCACTTCCTGCCCGCTTGGATGGAAATGGCCGGCTTTGCTATGGCAGCCACGCCCGTCCTCCTTTGGGCAAAAGCTGACCAAGGCCGCAGAGCTGAGAGCGCGGGGGCGGGGTGGGGGGTGGGTGCAGACCCAGGAGGAGTAGCCACATTGTTCCTCCAAGCAGCTGTCTCCTCGCTTCCCTCCGTGGGGCATCATAGTAACGACCAGCAGGTAACCGGTGTTTGTGACTGTGTGACGCCCTGCGCTGAGCACCTTCAGTTGTTATTTGTTCAGTCACCACAACAGCCCCATGATGGGGATGTTCCTTTCAGGAGCCCATTTTTCAGATGCAGAAACTAAGGTGCAGGGAGATTGAGTTGACTTGTCCAGAGGCACCAACTAGTAAGTGAGGGAAACCCAGCCATTCTGGTCCTTGAGACTGAGCTCTTCCAATGGAGTATATTAAGTCAGTCCATCCACCCACCCACCCATCCATCCATCTGCCATTCATCCATCTATCTAATCCATCCATCTATCCATCCATCCATCCATCCATCCATTCATCCATCCTTCCCTCTATCCACCATCTACCTATGCATCTATCCATCCATCCATCCATCCATCCATCCATTCATCCCTCTACCTATCCACCTATTTATCCATTCATCACTCTATCCACCCACCATCCTCCTATCCATCCATCTATCCATCCATCCATCCTTCCTTCCATCTGTCCACCCATCCACCTATCCATCCATCCATCCACCCACCCAACTATCCATCCATCTTTCCATCCACCAATTCATTCTTTCTTTCCCTTTCAACAATATTAATTGAACACCTACATGTAGCCAGACTCCAACACCAGCACACAAGGAAAGATGATGTATCTTTTCCTCGGAACAGCGCTGTTTAGAAACTGAAGGAAATAGGGAGGAAAGGAAGAGATCCAAGATCAAAACACCAACTTCCATTGTACGTGGAAGTGGAAGCTGTCGCACCAGAATCAGAACCTAAATGCTTGAAAGATGTTTTATTCCTCTCTGCCTCCCCCATCTCTTGGAATAGCAAGGAAGAAAGAGAAGGGTCCTGGGCGCCTGAATGGCTCAGTCGGTTAACTGTCAGGTCACAATCTCACGGTCCGTGAGTTCGAGCCCCACGTCATGCTCTGTGCTCACAGCTTGGAGCCTGGAGCCTGCTTCCAATTCTGTGGCTCCCTCTCTGCCCCTCCCCCCTTGCACTCTGTCTCTCTTTCAGAAGTAAATAAACATTTAAAAAAAGAAAGAAAAAGAGAAGACCCGTTAACAAATAAAGTTCACACAGGGCAGGGAGCCTTTAACCTGAGCGCTGACCTTGGATGTGCAGCCTTGAGGGCTAGGGGGTGCACTGGGGGGCTGCAGTCCTATGCGGCAGTACAGACCCCTATTCCCCAAAGGGCCCACACTTGGCTTAAGGCTTTGCTGCCGCCATCTTGAAATTCTTCATGTGTCTCGAACAAGGAGCCCCAGTGTTCATTTTCCACTGAGCAAACCCTGTAGCTGGTCCTTGTCAAATGGTTTGTCTCACTCTTGGAATCACTGGGTTGTATGGTGATTCTATTGACTATTCTGTTTTGTTCGAGTAACTGCCAAATGGTTTTCTGCGGTGGCTACAGCACTTTACATTCTCATGTACAAGGGCCCCAGTTTCTCCGCATCCTCACCAACACTGGTATTTTCATTGCTCAAAGTTCTACGGTCCAGTGGGTGTGAAGTGGCATCTCGTTGTGGTTCTGATTTGCATTTCCCACTGACTAAGGAGCATCTTTTCCTGTGCTTCTTGGTCATTTGTGTATCTTTGGAGTAGTGCCTGTTCATGTCTTCTGCCCATTTTTAAATGGGAGTTGTTTGTCTTTTTTTTGTTGTTGAGTTGTGAGAACTCTTTATATGTTCTAGATATAAGACCCTTATCAGATAAAGTTTGCAAATAGCTTCTCCCATTTTGTAGTTGTTTTTTTTGCTTTCTTGATGGTGTCCTTTAATGCACAACAGGCATTGATTCCGATGAAACCAAATTTATGGGGTTTTTTTTCTTCTGTAGCTGTGTTTTAGTGTCCTGTAAGAATCCATTGTCAAATACAAGGTCATTAAAATTTACCCCATGTCTTTTTTTTTATGTTTATTTATTTTTGAGGGTGAGACAGAGTGCAAGTGGGGGAGGGACAGAGAGAGAGGGAGACACAGAATCCAAAGCAGGCTCTAGGCTCCAAGCTCTTAGCACAGAGCCCAATGCAGGGCTCGAACCCATGAACTGCAAGATCATGACCTGAGCTAAAGTCGTATGCTTAACTGACTGAGCCATCCATGCGCCCATATAAGAGAGTTTTTTAAATTTATTTAAGTAATCTCTAACCCAGTGTGGGGCTCAAACTCACAACCCCAAGATCAAGAGTCTCACACTCTTCTCATTGAGCCAGACAGGCACTCGTATAAGCAGAATTTTTAAGTTTCCGTGTTTGATTGCTCACTGGCAGGGTACAGAATACAGCTGATATTTGTGTATTGGTCCTATATTCCACAATTATGCTGACCTCACTTATTAGCTCTAACAGTTTTTATTTTGTGGATTTTTAATAATATTTTATTTTTAAGTGGGGTACTTTGGTGGCTCAGTTACTTGAGCCTCCGACTTTGGCTCGGGCCACGATCTCACCGTTGGGGGATTTGAGCCCCACTTCGGGCTCTCTGCTGTCAGGAAGAGCTCACTTCTGATCCTCTGTCCCCCTCTCTGTGTGCCTCCCCCATTTGTGCTCTCTCTCCCCCTGGCTCTCTTCCACGCTCACATGCTCTCTCGCTCTCTCTCTTTCTAAAAAAAATAAAAGTGGGGCACCTGGGTGGCTCAGTCGGTTAAACATCTGACTTGGGCTCAGGTCATGATCTCATGGTTCATGGGTTCGAGCCCCGCATCGGGCTCTGTGCTGACAGCTAGCTCAGAGCCTGGAGCCTGTTTCAGATTCTGTATCTCTCTCTCTCTGACCCTCCCCTGCTCATGCTGTCTCTCTCTCAGAAATAAGTAAAACATTAAAACAAAAAAGAATGTAGCAATCAAAAATAAATAAAAATAAAAAAATAAAAGTGAGATCATAGTAAGCTGCTTTTCTTTTTCACTTAACACTATGTCGGATCTTTCCATGTCACTAAAATGCCTGTGCCTTTCAAGCTAATCTTGAACCCGATAATGAAGTGGCTCCACCAGGCCTGGGGTTGGGAGTTCTCCCGACCACTCCTAGAGGCTGCCCACCCCTCCCCTGCAGACATCGACGAGTGCTCGGCACACCCGGGCATCTGCAGCCCCGGTACCTGCTACAACGCCCTGGGGAACTACACCTGTGTCTGCCCTGCGGAGTACCTGCAAGTCAACGGTGGCAACAACTGCATGGGTACAATGTGTGATGACTGGGGAGATGGGCAGTTGTGGGAAAAGCACTTAGGTGTGGGAGGGAGTTCTAAGAGTCTCCAAACCTTAGAAGAGTGTGGAGAGCTGTGTGTAGGGGAGTAGAGAGAGGGAGGGTCAGTGTATTTGAGTTGCTGGTCAGTAGCGAAGAACAAGATGCGGGATTGGGGGGCCCAGGGCTGTCATGAATGGTTGTCCAGGTTGTGCACTGTCCAAGAAAATCTAAAATGTAAAAGGCATCCCATGTGTGTTGGGGAAGAGGCATCAAGCCAGTGCTTTTCAAATGGATCCATGAGTGAGTTCCCAGCCATCTGGCTCTCTCTTCCTCTCTCTTGGCTATCTTTTACCAACACTTCTCTTCTTAACCCAACTGCAGACATGAGGAAGAGCATCTGCTTCCGGCACTATAACGGCACGTGTGGGAATGAACTGGCCTTTAACGTGACGCAGAAGATATGCTGCTGCTCAGACAACATCGGCCAGGCCTGGAACAGACCCTGCGAGGCCTGCCCCACCCCTGCCAGCTGTGAGTGCTCCCTGCGCCTCCTCCTCCCCTCCCCCACCTTGTTTCCATCTCGGTCCTTTTTAGTGCAGTGTTTAAGGGGGCACACCTTAATTGGGGCGCCCAGATTAGCTTTCATCCTACCTTGTTCTGGTGACGCCTAAGGAGTTGAAAATATGTCCTAGTTGACGTACAGAAAGCATCAGTCTTAGGGCGGGTGAAGCATCTTTCCTTCTACGTGCAGATTTGGGGGTTCAAAATGGATCCGTGAAGCTTATGTTTTGAGCCCTTGAAGACTCACAGACTATTTTGGGGGGAGGCTCAGTGAGTACTGGGGCCAGGGACCCAGGGGCCCCATGAAGGCGCAGGCCCGGGGAAGCTCTGGGGAGAGCTGCTGAAACACTGTTTGGGATGAAGAAGGGTGTTCCGGGCAGGGAACAGCATGAGCAAAGGCCTGGGGGAAGAACTGAGCAGCAGATCATGCTGGCAGCTGGAAAGAGAGCTGGTAGAATGTTCTAGCCGCCGGCCCAGGTATCAGAGCCGCAGGAGTGGGGCAGCGATTGAAAGTGGACAATGAGGACGCTCCAGTGTGCTGTGGGCTGAACGTGTCCCCCACCCCACCCCCACCAGCTCATACGGTGAAGGCCTGGTCCCCAGTGTGGTGCTGTTGGGAGAGGCCTTGGGGAGGGTTAGGAGACCCCCTGAGGGGGGGCCGGGGCCCTTCCGAGGAGACGCGTGTGGGAGACCATCTCCACCGTGAGGGTGAAGCAGGCAAACAGCCGTCTCTGAACCAGGGGGCGGCTCCCCCAGACGCCGAGTCTGCAGGCGCCTTGGACTCCCAGCCCCTAGAACTGTGGGAAGTCCATTCCTGCTGTTTGAGCCACCCACCCGGTCTGTGGGATGTCATGAGAGCCGTGCAGGCTGACGGAGACTGTTAGTTTCCTTGGGCCGTGGCCACAAATTACCACCAGTTTGGTGGCTTAAAAAAACCCAGAAGTTAATTTTCTCCCAGTTCTGAAGACTAGAAAGAAGCCAGAGGCCAAGGGGGCAGCGAGGCCGTGCCCCCTCCAAGGCTCTAGGTTAGGATCCTTCTTGGCTACCTCCAGCTTCTGGTGGCTCCGGGCATCCTTTGTGCTCCTGGCTTGGAGCTCCATCCCCAATCCCTGCTTTCATCTTCACGTGGCTGCTTATCCCCGAATGCCTGCGTGTCTCCCCGTTTCTTGTAAGGACACTGGTTGTTGCATTCAGGGCCTCCCTAACCCAGGGTGTCCTCTCTGCTCCGGACTGCATCCACAAACTGTTTCCCCAGACAGTCACACTCAGAGGTTCTGGGTGGACGTGAGCTTGGGTGGCTGAGGATGTTCATCCCGTGCAGGGCAATGGAGAGGGGATCATTATTGGGCATTTCTGGGTGGTGGGCCTGTTCTGGGCTTTGGGAAGCAAGACCAGGGCAGACCCCGGCTGCGCAGGCTGGGAAGGAGCCGCAAACGGCCAGCTCTGGTCAGGAGACTGTCGAGACAGATCAGATGGCACCCTTGGTGTGAGCGCTGGGACCTAGGCACCTGCTCCGTCTCGTGCACAGGAGCCTGAGGTGCAAGTGGAATGAGACGAGCAGCCAATGACGCAGGTAGAAGGCTGAGCAATGGCCAGGACAGGGCCCTGGGGAAAGGTGGCAAGGTGCCACTTGCCTAAATACCTGTCCGCGTCCACGTGGGGGGCCCCGGAGACACCTGCCCTCTCTGGGGATTGCAGTCTGGGAGGCGGCCTGGCGCATTGCCAACGGGATGTGACCAGAGGATGAGCTGCCCTGGGGGAGCCAAGGGCGGGCCATCAGTGTCTGTGGTGGGGCGGGGCGGGGGGTACACCCCAAGGGAGCCTTCCCTGCGGGCTGCCCTGAGTCCTCAAGGCTGGAGTGGGCTTTGCTGGGGAACAGCAAAGGGAACAGGATGTGCAAAGTTCCCGCGTGGGATGGCTGGATGGGGGATGAATGATGGATGGTGGAGAGCGGGGCCTCCCCAGACGTGTAATGAAATCAGCGTGATGGGAGGGCAGGAGCCACTGCTAGAAAGGTAGGGGCGGGGTGGGGGGGTGGGGGTGAAGCTTTTGAGGTCCAAACTGAAGAGTCTACCTATTCCGGCGAGGGCAGCGGGGTGTGGTCGGCGGCACTCTCACAGGGAAGAGATAAGAGAGGTCGCATCTCTGCGTCTCTGTGTCGGAAGATCACGGCGCGCAGGTAGACAGAAGGCTGCTCGGCTGCTGGAGAAAGCGGCTGCGAGGCTGAGGCTAGTTACCAGCGGCCAGATGGGGGCGGGGCTGCGAGGCCTGGGGGACGCGGTGGGCGGGGCGTCGGGAAGGAGAGGGCGTGTCCTTCCTGGGCGCCCGCAGCCCCAGCACCCTCCGCCCTGCCCTCCTTTGCCCAGTGGACTACCGGATCCTGTGCGGAAGCCAGGCCCCCGGCTTCGTCATTGACATCCACACGGGGAAGCCCATCGGTGAGTGCTGTGTCCCCTGATTGTAGCCTCCAGGCCCCTCTGTCCCCAGGGCCCTGACCTGTCCCTTCCATCGCCCCCCCCGCCCGATGCCCACACTTCTGCCTTCCCAGACCAGGCCAGGAGTCCTGTCCCCAAACAGCTCCCTTTATTTAAAAAAAAAAAAGTAAGAGCTTTTTTATTAAGTTATTATTCATTTTTGAAAATCCTGATAACATACATATAACGTGAAATTTACCATCTTAACCATTTTTAACTGTCCAGTTCAGTGGCATCAAACACACACACACTGTCAGACAACCATCCCCGCCATCCATCTCCAGAACCTTCCATCTCCCCAGACGGAGACTCTGTCCCCATGAAGCACAGACTCCCCCTCGCCCCGCCCCACCCCCGGCTCCCACCAGCTACTCTCTGCCTCTGTGGATGGAACCCCTCTTGGGACCCCCTGTGGGTGGGGTCACGCAGGACATGTCCTTTTGTGACTGGCTTCTGTCACTGCGCAGTGTCCTCAGGGTCCATCCATGTGGTGTCAGGTGTCAGAATGCCCTTCCTTTCTAAGCCAAACAAGATTTTGTGCAATTTAACCCCTGAAGTGCCCTGTCTCAGCTTGTGATGTGGAACAGATGAACCCATTTCCGGTGGTGTTCATCCCAGGATGTGTCTCCTTTTTTTTAAACAGCCGGGGCACGGCAGATAAGCCGTACTTCCCCAGCAGTTACCACGTCAAACCTAAGTCTCCTTCACTCTCCCAGGGTTCCCATGCTGTATGCCCCAAGGATTTCTAGATCCTTCTTCGTGCATTTCGGTATACAGAGGTCCCCATTGAAAATGCACAGCATTGTTTTCTGGGGAAAACAATGACATTTTCTAATTCTAGAATTCCCTGCCTGTTGGTTTGCAACTCACTTTTCGCCGGCCACCAACAAGCTGTGAAGACCCAGGCAGGGGACTGCATGCAGTGCCCCCTCTTGTCCCATGTGTGACACGCCCCAGGTCACCAGCCAGTCCCCCGTGGACAGGCACTTAGGCTGTTTCTGGATTCCCTTTTTATACAGTTGACACTTGAATAGCACGAGCATTTGGAGCACAGAACCCCATGCAGTTGAATATCCACCTATAAATTTTGATGCCCCGCCCTCCCCCCCCAACTTAACAAGTAGTCTGCTGGTGACCAGAAGGCTTACCAATAAGGTAAACGGTAGTTTAACACATGTTTTGAATGTTGTAGGTATTGTATATCGCATTCTTACAATAAAATAAGCCACAGGCAAGAAAATGTTACAGGATAACTATAAGGAGGGGCGCCTGGGGGGCTCAGTCCGTTGAGCGTCTGACTTCGGCTCAGGTCATGATCTCACGGTTCGTGGGTTCGAGCCCTGCATTGGGCTCTGTGCTGACAGCTCAGAGCCTACTTTAGACCCTCTGTCCCCATCTCTCTGCCCCTCCCCAATTTGTACTCGCTAAAAATAAATAAACATTTAAAAAAAAAGAAAGAAAACTGTAAGGAAAACACATTTACAGCACTGTATTATATATATACAAAAAATAAATACAGCTAAGTGGCCCCTTGCAGTCTGAACGTGCGCTGTTTAAGCATCGGCTGTATAGATAATAGTTTTATTGGGATATAACTCACATATCATACGCCTTGCCCAGCTTAAGTACAATTCAGTGGTTTTCCAGGTCTTCACAGAGCTGTGCTGCCATCACCACTAAATTAGAATATTTTCTTTTCTTTTAACGTTTATCCATTTATTTTGAGGTCGAGGAGGGCAGAGAGGGAGAGAGAGAATCCCAAGCAGGCTCTGCACTGTCAGCATAGAGCCTGACATGGGGCTCGAACTCACGAACCCTGCAATCAGGACCTGAGCCCAAACCAAGACTGGGCACTTAACCGACTGAGCCACCCAGGTGCCACTAAGTTAGAACATTTTCATCACGCAAAAAGACACCTAGTCCCCGTGAGCAGACACCCCCCCCCCCATTCTGTCCTCAGCCAGCCCCTGGCCACCCCTTTTCTACTTTCTGTGCCTATGGATTTGCTCTTCCGGGCATTTCTCATCTATGGGATTGTAGAGTGTCTGTCCCTGCATCTGGTTTCTCCCACTGAGCATCGTGCACTCGAGGCTCGCCCACACGTAGCGTGTCAATGTTTCACCCCTTTTTAAGGCTGAGTTATGTTCTGCCCCCTGGATGGACGTGGTTCGTTATCCTTTCTTCTGCTGACGCCTCTGGTTTCTTGCTCAACATCATCCCAGGACCCCGCCCCCCCCCTTCCTGCTCTCACAGGGGCCACTTGACCCCGGCAGACTGCTGGTGGCAGAGGCAGGCTTCCTGGGCCGCAGCGATCATGTTTTCAGTTGAGAGATGCTACCCCCCCTCCATCTGCTCTTTGTCTTTCGTCCTGCCCCCTGGTCTCTTTCTGGCGCCAGAAAGACTTCAGCTGCCACTGGATTTTTCCAGTGTGCTTGTTTGTGGCCACCCCTCCTCCCAGACTGCATGGCCCCTTGGCCCAGGGTCCCCAGGTACTCCCGGGGCCTGGGCTGCCCCTGACGGCCGACGCCCCTCCCCAGACATCGACGAGTGTGGGGAGATCCCCGCCATCTGTGCCGATGGCATCTGCATCAACCAGATCGGGAGCTTCCGCTGCGAGTGCCCCGCGGGCTTCAGCTACAACGGCGCGCTGCTGGCCTGCGAAGGTGCCGCCTGCCCTGCGTCCCCAGCCCTGGGTGGGAGGCAGGTGCCCCGCCCCAGCTCCCTGGACGAGAGTCACTTAAGCTAATCCCTTCCGGGGTGGGGGGCTCCATCCCTCGTGACCACTCTCCACTTCCGGAGAGATTCCCCGCTCTGCTCCAAAGCCCGGGCGGGGGTTGGGGACGGCTGGCCGGGAAGCCTCCCGCACTCCCGCCCCTTGGTCTTCCGCAGACGTGGACGAGTGTGCCAGTGGGGAGAGCCCCTGCCGGCGGAATGCCGACTGCGCCAACATCCCCGGCAGCTACCGCTGCAAGTGCGCCCGAGGCTACAAGCTGTCGCCAAGCGGGGCTTGCGTGGGTGAGCGCGGACCCCAGCAGGGTGCAGAGCCCGCCTCTGGCCCCTGTGGCGGGCGGGGCGAGGCTCCATCCGGGCCCCGGGGTGGCGGGGATGCAGTGCTCCTGCTTGGAGGGCTTGGGAGGGTGCGGGGAGCACGCGCTGGCAGCAGCTTGAATGGGGGGCTTCCAGTTAGGTTCTGGCTTCCCCATCACGGAGCCCAAGGGCTCAGCCAGCAGTGTGTGTGTGTGCGCGCGCGCGTGCGTGCGCGCATGGTGGTGGGGTTCTGGGGACACCACACTCCTTGCCCTCCCCCAGGACGGAACGAGTGCCGGGAGATTCCAAACATCTGTAGCCATGGCGACTGCGTGGACACGGAGGGCAGCTACACTTGCCTGTGTCACCGCGGCTTCCAGGCCTCTGCCGAACAGACCCTGTGCACGGGTGAGCGCCCCTTCCTGTTCCCTCCCGGAGAGCCGGGCTGCCAGGCCAGAGGGGCCTCGCCTGTGAGGGCAGTGCTTTCATCCATCTGGTTCTCACACAGACCCAGGTTTGAGTCCTGGCACTTAGGACCTTGGCCAAATGACCGTTATTCACTTACCATTTGTAGAAAGGGAGTGATAATTAGTTTCAGGGGCACTTTCCAGCCATCACCCCCAGGGATCACTGCCCATCCATCTGGACAGGGCTGGGTGCAGGAGAGGCGGGCTGGGTCCAGCCGGGCCCTTGGTCCCTGAGCCGTTCCTTGCCCCGGATGAGCTGGGCGGGGCTGGGGGCTTTGCTCTGCCAGATGTGGACGAGTGTGACCAGCAGCCATGCGGAAATGGGACCTGCAAGAACGTTGTTGGCTCCTACCACTGCCTCTGCTACCCTGGCTTCGTGGCAACACACAGCGGAGACTGCGTGGGTGAGCCACGGGGGCTGGCGGGCAGGCGTCAATGCTCTGCTCTGAAAAGCGTGTCCTTGGCCTGAGGGCGCCCCTCTGAAACAATAAAGAGATCCCCCCTGGCCCCAGGGATCTCTTCAGGAAGCCAACCCCAGTGGTTGGTGCTCCCTCTAAAAATGATTCAACAAGATTTCCCACACGTTGCAATGGTCAGGTGTCAGGGGGTCTCTTGCTAGAGCTTATGCTCAGGTTGATGGCAGCAGATGGACAGTATAGGGGACAGCACAGACGTGGGTGATGTGATGCTTCCAGTTAAGTGCAGTGGTTAAAAGCACACGTTCCAAAGTCAGGCAACATGGATTCAAATCCCAGCTTTGCCACCTGCCAGCTGTGTGACCGCAGATGAGTCATTTTACCTTTTACCTCTTTAGGCTTCAGTTTCCTCTTTTGCAAAAATGAGAAGAATAATAGTACCTACCTATGTTAACATTAGACCAAATAGATGGTAATAACAAGGAATGTTACCAGAGATGTAAAGAGATATCATATAAAGAGGCCAATTCCCTGAAAAGACATAATAACCATAAATACATACGCATCTAACAACAGAGCTTCAAAACATACGAAGTAAAAAATGACAGAGCTGAAAAAGAAATAGACCCACAGTTACAGTTGGAGACTTCATCACTTCTCCCTCAGTAAGAGAGAGAACAAATATAAAATCAGTAAGGATAGGGAAGACCTGAACAACACTGTCAATCACCTAGACCTGGTCGGGATTTATAGAACATTCCAGAACATAACATCCTTTTCAAGTGCACATGGACATTTACCAGGAAAGCCCATATTCTGGGCCATAAAACAAACCTCAGAAAATTAAAAAGACTTGAAGCCACACAAAGTAGGTCCTCAGAATGTAAGGGAAGTAAATTAGAAACCAGTCACAGAAAGACATCCAGGAAAATCCCCAAATATTTGGAAATTAAATAGTATATTCCTAAAGAATCCAGAGACCAAAGAAGAAATCATAAGGGAAACCAGAAAATATTTTTGAATTAAGTGGAGATGAAAACACAACAAAATTTGTGGAGTTCAGCTAATGCAGTAGCCAGAGGCAAATTCATAGCATTCAGTGCTTATACTAAAAAATACTGCCATCTGTTTCAGTGGATAGTTGGCATATAGAGCTTAGCACTTGAGTACATGATAAGTTGAAGTCCCTGCCATCGACTCAATTTCCTCATGGACAGAAGTGCAAGGGAGGCTCAGAGTCCCAGGACTCTGGGTGACCCTGCCTGCCCATATCCCCTCTGCAGACATGGATGAGTGCACCACCCTGGCAGGGCAGGTTTGCCGATTTGGCCAGTGCCTCAACACAGCTGGCTCCTTCCACTGCCTTTGCCAGGATGGCTTCGAGCTCACGGCCGACGGGAAGAACTGCATGGGTGAGTCTCACCTTGGAGTGGGGAGCCATGTCCACCAGCCCCTGCTCCAAGTTTACCTGTGGTTCATACCTCCAAGCGATGATGGTTCCATTTCATAATCATGCACTTATTTTAAGGTATAAAAGGAAATACAACTAGCACATCACAGCCATGTTTTCACAGGGTTTGTGGTTTAGGGTAAGGCTGTCTTAAAAACCTTAGTTTTCAGGGCGCCTGGGCAGCTCAGTTGGTTAAGCGTCCAACTCTTGGTTTCAGCTCTGGTCATGATCTCGTGGTTCGTGTATTTGAGCCCCGTGTCGGGCTCCACACTGAAAGCACAGAGCCTGCTTGGGATTCTCTCTCTCCCTCTCTGCTCCTCCCCTGCTTGCACTCTCTGTCTCACTCTCAAAATAAATAAACTTAAAAAAAAAATTTTTTAAACCCTAACTTTTCTGAAGTAAAGAATGGCCGAGGTGGTACATGGATTACACGAAATCTTGAAAAGGGGTCTATAAATGGCTTAAGATTAGGGACCTTGTTCTTTCCCTTGGACATCACGTGGCTTCACCGATAACCCCCACTTCAGGACCCAGAATGCCCTTCCCAGGCCGTCTCTGTTTTCCTGGTCTCAACCCTTCCCCTGGATCCAGAAAGACCTGTTCTAGGGCCCTTGGCCATCATATGGTCACCATAGATGCCCGTCCCAGTCCCAAGCGAGCCCCTGTCACAGGCTGGTGCCAGGACCCCTCCCCTTCGTCTCCCCAGACACCAATGAGTGTTTCAGCCTCGCGGGAACCTGCCTGCCGGGCACTTGCCACAACCTCGAGGGCTCCTTCCGCTGCATCTGTCCCCCTGGCTTCCAGGTGCAGGACGACCGCTGTGTCGGTGAGTGTCTCCCTGGGCCTCTGTTTTCCCATCTGTAAAATGGGAATGCCAGCTGGGGTCGTGGTGAGGGTGGAGGTGTACTCAGCACAGCACCCGATGCAGCTCTGTACACAATAACTGTTATGAGGTTCATTTTGGATGCTTGGCTTGGGTTCTCTCTCTGGGACCCACAGACTTCTTCACCGATCCTGTAAAATGGGCATGGGTGTGGGGCTGCAGGGCACAGAGAACACCTCACTCTCGATGGGTGGGGGTCAGAGACCTGTCTGGCCAGAGGTCCCCCTGTGTAAGTCCCTGTCTGCGTGACTTGGTACCGAGTCAGCAAATCTGGACCAGTCTGGCCTAAGCAGATGGGCTAGCCCGGTACAGAGCGGACCAGCCTAGATACGTCTGGCCTCCCTCCTCTGATGTATTCTCTCTGGGCTCCCCTAGCTAGCGTGAGCTAGCCTCATCCCGTGTGAGCTAAGTTTATCCGGTCTCGGTTAGCTTCGCACAAAGCTAGTCACTGAAGATGAACTTTTCCTGACCATGACCCCTATCCTGGGGATACCTTCTAGAAAGGACTCCTCCCCCACCCCCAACACAGCCCAGCTAGTGCTCTGGCTCATACTGAGTGGGGAGGGCCCCTGTTGGACGTCTGTCGGTCCCAGACCCTCCCGGTGGGGCCCCCACTCTGTCCGCCACCCCTCCCCCCCAGAGCTGAGGCTGCCCCCCACCCAGCTCATGTCCCTGCCCCTTCAGACATCGACGAGTGCTTGGAGGAACCCAACCTCTGCCTCTTTGGCACCTGCACCAACAGCGCCGGGAGTTTCCAGTGCCTCTGCCCACCTGGCTTTGTCCTCTCTGACAACGGGCACCGCTGCTTTGGTGAGTCTTTGCTTCTGTCTTTGAGAAGAGGTGGAAGGTAGGGCGACAAGAGTCAGGACACCCAGGAAAAAGGGGCTGCGGTTTCCTGCGGGTATCGCCAGGACCTCTAGAGGTGCTTCCCGGCCTTGGCGGGGTTAGTCTCGTCCAAACAGCCTCTGAGCAGACAAGGCACTTGCACCCAGGGCTGTCCTGCCCCAGTCTGGCCTCACCCCGCCTCCGGGGCTTCGGCTGCCCTCCGCCAGCTGGCTTCATCGGAGCTGGGCCAGCCTCAGCCAGCCGAGCCAGCCACCCCTGCTCAGGATAGGGGCAGCAGAGCAGAGGGCGGGGCACTCCACTCAGTGTTGTTCAGACCCCAACGTGCCCTTGAGGACTTCTCAGGCCGATGAGAGTCCGGGGCTGCTGGTGGTGGTGGGGTCCGTGGCAATGATGGGAGTCTCAGGTCCCAGGGCCTTTGGCCCCCCCTGGAATCACTTGCTTCCCTCTCCGGGAGGGGTGGGGGTGTTGCTGCAAGGGCTTCCCACGGCTCCAGCGGAAGCCCCCGGGCTGGCCCTCCTCGGCCTGGTGGGGGTCACATGCCCATCTCGGAGCCAATCACCGCAATGGGGAGTGGGGCCTGGAGGGCTCTGATTGGCTGCTCAGTAGGGTCAGGGCCCTCGGTGTTCGGGGACCGAGGCGACAATCCAGGCACTACTGACGACCTTTCAAATGTTTCCCGGGGGGGGGGGGCGGTCACCCCCACAGACACGCGGCAGAGTTTCTGCTTCACCCAATTTGAGGCCGGGAAGTGCTCTGTGCCCAAAGCTTTCAACACCACCAAGGCCCGGTGCTGCTGCAGCCAGAAGCCCGGCGAGGGCTGGGGCTACCCCTGCGAGCTGTGTCCCCAGGAGGGCAGTGGTGAGCGCCCTGCGCTGTCGCGCCTCCCCTGAGACGCCTGCCCGCCCACACCGGTGTGGTTTCCTACACACGCTGGGGGGAGGGGCGGCCCTGGCGGCTGCAGCGGCCCCCGACCCTCACCCCCTTCTCCGCTTGGTGTCCAGCTGCCTTTCAGGAGCTCTGCCCCTTCGGCCACGGGGCGGTCCCAGGCCTGGATGACTCCCGGGAAGGTGAGCCCCTCGCCCACGAGCTAAGGGCCCCTGCCCGGGCGCCTCGCCCTGTGTGGGCTCTGCCTGGCCCCCGTCCCCAAGCCTCAGGCGCCCTCCTTGTCCGGGTGGCCCTGCACCGCAGGGGCGTGGAGGGGAGGAAGGGACCCCGAGAGTGGCTGGGGCGGGACCGAGGCCGTGGCCGCCACCCCTGCCGCCCGCAGACGTGAACGAGTGTGCGGAGAGCCCCGGCGTCTGCACTAACGGCCTTTGCGTCAACACCGACGGGTCCTTCCGCTGCGAGTGTCCCTTCGGCTACAGCCTGGACTTCACCGGCGTCCGCTGTGCGGGTGAGCGAGCAGCCCGCCTGCGCGCCCGGGGGGCAGGAGCGGCGGGCAGGGCAGACGTCACTGCCGGCGCGGCCGACACCCTGGCACCCCCGGCCCGCGTGCAGCCCCGGGTGCGCCCGGCCGGGCCCGTCAGTCGGCGGCACTCGGGGGGAGCGGACCCGATAATATTGAGACAGCGAGGCCGCGAGGCCCTCCGCAGGCCCTGAGCACCCTTCCCCTACCCCAGACGTAGACGAGTGCGCCGTCGGGCACCCCTGTGGCAAAGGCACCTGCACTAACGTCATCGGAGGCTTCGAATGTGCCTGCGCCGACGGCTTTGAGCCTGGCCCCATGATGACCTGTGAGGGTACGACCCTGGCTGCTCCTGGGCTGTGTGGCAGGGGCGGGGATCCCGCAGGCGGACCCTGCCCAGCCCGCCCCTCCCCTGGCCTCCCCAGACATCGACGAGTGCTCCCTGAACCCTCTGCTCTGTGCCTTCCGCTGCCGCAACACCGACGGCTCCTACGTGTGCACCTGCCCGGCCGGCTACGCCCTGCGGGAGGACGGGGCCATGTGCAGAGGTAGGACGCGCAGGGGTGGGGGGCGGGGAGCAGGGGGCGGGGCCTGGGGAAGACAGGGAAATGCGAGCCTGTGCCCGAGCAACAAGGGATGGAGTCAGTGGAGCACTGAGGCCCGTGAGGTGCAGTGGGCGCTCTTTTGTGAGTGGCGCTTCTGTCCTCATGACACGGGGTCTCCGGTCTGACAGGTCAGTGGTTCCGGTGGCCTCTCCAGCGGCAGCCGGCGCGCCCTGAGCTGAGCAGGACCTTGGGGACAGTTACTGTGTCCCCCATGGGACATGTGGCAATGTCTGGAGACTGGGTTGTTTTTTTTTTAAGTTTTTCTTTATTTTTAAGAGGGCAAGAGCGGGGAGGGGCAGAGAGGGGGACAGAGGATCCGACGCAGGCCCTGTGCTGACAGCAGCAAGCCCCACCAGGGCTCACGCTCACCAGCTGTGACATCATGACTTGAGCCGGTGACACTCTTAGCTGGCTTAGCCACTCCGCCTCCCTAAGAGGTTTTTTTTTTTTTTTTAATGTTTTATTTATCTTTGGGACAGAGCGTGGGTGGGGGAGAGGCAGAGAGAGAGAGAGAGAGAGAGAATCTGAAGCAGGCTCCAGGCCCTGAGCTGTCAGCACGGAGCCCAGCTAGGGCCTCAAACCCACAGACCGAGAAGAAATCATGACCTGAGCCAATTGGATGCTCAACTGACTGAGCCACCCAGGTGCCCCCTGACAGATTTTTTTTGAAGGTTTATTTATTTCTTTTGAGAGAGAGAGTGGGGGAGGGGAAGAGAGAGAGAGGGAGAGAGAGAATCTCAGCCAGGCTCCGTGCCATGAGCTTGGCGCTCGACGAGGGGCTCGAACCCATGGACTGTGAGATCAGGACCTGAGCTGAGATCAGGAGTCAGACGCTGAGCAACTGAGCCCCCCACGCGCCCCTGGAGACCGTTTTCATCGCGACAGCTGGGTGTGGGGGCCGTGATAGGCTTCAAGCAGCCAGGATGCTGCTGAATATACTGCAGAATGCAGAATGGCCTTCCGCCACGAGGAAGTCTCTGGTCCCAAGTGTGCTCAGTGTCAAAGCTGAGAAGCTCTGGGCTGGGACTTGGTCCCTCCAGGGCCATCTCAGGGTTAGTGTCCCAGGGACCAGGGAGAAGGCCGGACAGATTCACAGGCCCTGATGTGGGCAGGGGACACGGGTGTTGGGATAGTCCCGACCCCTGGGCTTCTCAAGAGGCCTGGGCAGCTGTGGGAGGGGCGGGCCTCACTTTCAGTACCCAAGGGCGCAGGGGAGGTGGGGCCCGGCCCTCGCAGCCACAGCCAGGCCATGGCGCTCCTGGCCTTGGGCCCCCTCTGTCCCTGGCCCCCCGCAGATGTGGACGAGTGTGCGGCCGGTCAGCAGGACTGCGGCGAGCGGGGCATGCTGTGTAAGAACCTCATCGGCACCTTCGCCTGCGTCTGCCCCCCAGGCCTGCGGCCTCAGCCTGGCTCCGGGGAGGGCTGCACAGGTATGGGGGTGCTTCGTGGGTGCAGAGTCCGAGCAAGAGAATGCGGCAGGAGGGCAGCATCCGGGGCGAGGGGAGGCTGGCCTGGGGGGCTCAGGCCTCCCCACCGGCCCGACTCGTCCCTCCTGGCCCAGATGAAGACGAGTGCCGAGCGCAGCCCCACCTGTGCGCCAACGGCCTCTGCGTCAACACCGTAGGCAGCTTCCGTTGTGACTGTGACCAGGGCTTCCGGCCCAGCCCCGCCGGCACCGAGTGCCACGGTGAGTGTGGCCACGCACGGCGGGCACAGCTCCTGGAGCCCATCCCCCCACCCCGCTCCATCTCAGCAATGCCACTGCATCAGCCTGGAGCCACAGGCCAGCCCCCAGGAGTCCCCATCGGCCTCCTCTTCGTCACCCAGTTCAGGCTCCAGCCTGCCCCGTCCAGTCCCCTGGATGTCATCCATCTACTCTGTCCCCGCTGGCTGGCGGTCCAGCGCACTACCACCTCCGCCTCCTCCCTAGTGCTCCTTGGCCTCCATGCTGCCCTGACTATCATGCTCTGTGCGGCCAGGAAGCTGCCTGGCTCCACGGCCACAGGGCATCCCTCTGACCCCACGGGTCTGCAGCTTCTGCCTGGGCCCCAGCCCCGGGAGGGCATCTAACCGTGCTAGGTGACAGTGGCCTGGAAGATTTCGCCCCACGCCCACGCACAGCTGTGTTGGAGACATCTGGGAGCCCTTGCTAGACACTCGGTGCCGCCGGACCCCACGGGCAAGGGGGCCCTGCACGGCGTCTTCCACCCACCACCCCCACCCGTTCTCCGCAGACGCGCGGCGGGGCCCCTGCTTCTCCGAGGTGCTGCAGGCCGTGTGCCAGGCTCCCTCGAGCAGCGGTGAGGCCGTCACCAGGGCCCAGTGCTGCTGCGGGGGCGGCCGGGGCTGGGGGGCCCGCTGTGAGCTCTGTCCCCTGCCTGGCACCTCTGCCCACAGGACCCTGTGCCCCCACGGCTCAGGCTACACCGCCGAAGGCCAAGGTGGGTGGGGACTGCGTTCACGGCTGTGTCTGTGTCCCAGAGGGGGCTGGAGTGTGGGAGCCAGGGTGCACCAGCGCCCATCCGTTCACGTTGTGCGTGAACTTGGGTGAATGGGTGAGCAGGTGTGTGGGCCAGTGTGGGCCTGTTCTCTGTTCTCCGTGGGGGCGTCAAGGAGTGCGTGCAAAGGGGTGTGAGCAGGTGTGTGTTCCCTGGTGTGTGTGCTGTGCGTGCCAGCTGCATGAGGAGTATGTGCCAGAAGGTGGGCGAGAAGGACGGAGCTCATCCGTGTGCTTTGGATTCGAGTAAGTTCCATGAGGGTGGGTAGGCGTGTGAGCAAGTGTGAGTGTCTCTGTGCACGAGTGTGTCTTGTCCAGCGTGTCAGCAAGGGTGAGACGAGTCATCCCAAGTGAGCAGCGGCGACCCCAAAGGCTGAGGAGGAAGGGCATCTGCGAGGGGGTGGGGGGTGCAGGGGAGCTTCGGATTCGGTGTCCGTGTGATTCTGCGGGGGCGTCAGCGTGTGACTGGCGGGCCCTGCGTGCGTGCCTGTCTGTGCTTCCGCTTGTGTGTGTGTGCCCTGAGGCCGGGTTGCTGGTGAGGCTGCCGGGAGGGCGTGCCCCCCCCCCCACCAGGTGCTCTCAGTGTGTAGCGAGAGGAGCTGCATTAGTTTGTCCAAGGGAGGACTCACAGCCTCCGCGCGGGGTCCCCGGGGTCAGGCAGGGGAGGTAGGGGCTGGCCTTGTCCCCGGGAAGAGGGCTGCTGGACAGAAGGGTGGAGGTGTGCCCCAGGGACCCGAGGCAGCCAGCGCGGCTGAGCCCTGCTTGTCCCCAGATGTGGACGAGTGCCACATGTTCGCGGACCTCTGCCCTCACGGCGAGTGCATCAACAGCCTTGGCTCCTTCCGCTGTCGCTGCCAGGCCGGGTACGCGCCAGACGCTGCTGCCACAGCCTGCCTGGGTGAGCCTCCCCGGCCCCGCCCCCTGGCCTGTCCCGGCCCCGCCCCCTCTGCCCAGCACCTGGCTGAACCCGGAAGCAGAGCATCCCCAGTCCTGCCCCCTGCACCGACCTCATTTGGGCAACTTTCCTCCTGTTATTTTGTGCATCCGAAGATTTGCAGTTTCCTTGCATAGTAGATATTCATCTACGTCAGGGATCGGCAAACTCCAGCTCAAGGGCCTAGTCCAGCCATCTGCTTGACTTTGTTAATAAAGCTTTTTTTTTAAAATTTTTTTAATGTTTTATTTATTTCTAGGAGAGAGAGAGAGAGAGAGAGAGACAGCGTGAGCAGGGGAGGGTCAGAGAGAGAGGGAGTCACAGACTCTGAGACAGGCTCCAGGCTCTGAGCTGGCAGGCAGCACAGAGCCCGACGCGGGGCTCGAACCCACGAACCGCGAGATCATGACCCAAGCGAAAGTCGGACGCCTAACCGACTAGGCCACCCAGGCGCCCCTTGTTAATAAAGTTTTATTGGCAGCCAGACCTATTTGTTTCCTTTCCCTCTGCTGTGGCTTTCCTCCCACAGAGCCAGAGCTGAGTAGTTGGAACTGAAACCATGTGGCCTACAAAGGCAAACGTGTTTAATCTCTGCCTTCTTACAGAAAAAGTGCCAAGTCCTTTTATATAAGCCCATAGATTCTGATTGGTTCGGGCCTGGGAAGGAGGCCTCAGCAGGGCCTGAGTGGAGACCCCAGCCCCGGAGCCCCCGGGAACATCCGTGTGACCACTGCCCCCCATGCTGCCGACCCTCTAGATGTAGATGAGTGTGGCCAGGCCCCCCCGCCGTGTCCTTTCCTCTGCAAAAACACTGAGGGCAGCTTCCTCTGCGCCTGCCCCCGAGGCTACCGGCTGGAGAAGGACGGCAGAACCTGCAGAGGTGATGTCCCCCTCTGACCCCGCGGGGACCCGTCCCCGCCCCCCCAGGGAGACCCCGGGCACGTCCCCGGCCGCTCACCCCCTCCCCGCGGCGTGGCGTCGGCCGGCGTCTCTGGGGTGTTGCCCCTGGGGGGGGGGGCCCGCCCTGAGCGCGGGACCGTCTATGCCGCAGACCTCGACGAGTGCTCCTCCAGGCACCACAACTGCCAGTTCTTCTGCGTCAACACCGTGGGCTCCTTCAGCTGCCAGTGCCCCCCCGGCTTCACCCAGCACCGCCAGGCCTGCCTCGGTGAGCCCCCCACCCCTCCCAGCCCCTGGCGCGCGGCGCTGGCCCTCGCTCCCTCGTTTTCCACATGAGCAGCAAGCACCACGTGTGTGCCAGACACCCGAGCACCAAGGGGGGCGGGGTCAGAACAAGGCCCCTGCTCTGTCGGTGCCCACGCCCTGCCAAGGCCTACGACGTCAGCCTGCTTCCTTGCCCTAGGGACCTGGGAGGCCCTCCCTGAGGGGCTCCTGTGACCTCAGCCCAGGACACTCCCTTTGCCGCTGGCCAGTCCCTGATGGCTCTCTCTCCTACGGTCCCCTCAGGGTCCTCCCAAAAGCCTAGGGGCTCACAGAGTCCAGAGCGGAAGTTGGTTCAGAAGCCAAAGTTGTAGGGCAACTGTCAGTCCCATTGCTCTTTAGTGCCTTGTGGCCTGGGAGTTCCAGACGTCCCCTGAGGGCCAAGCTCAGCCATGCGTGGTCCCACTCGGGCTCCCACGAATCCACTCAGCCCACACCATCTGAGACCTACTGTGTGCCAGGCAGTGCTCCAGACCAGAGGTCTTCCAACTCCAACCCCCAGGTCAGGCCTGCCCAGCCCCCTACTTGCTTTTGTTGATAAAGTTTTATTGGCACGCAGCCGTGCCCATTCATTTACATATGGTCCGTGGCTGCTTTTGCGCTAAAATAACAGAGCCAGGGCCAAGCTGTTGCAACAAAGTCACACATGTCTTCTAGCTGTCCCCTTACAGGAGCCATTTGTCTAGCCCTGTTCTAAGCCCTGAAGGCAAAGCAGTGAACGCAGGAGGCAAGCGTGCTGCCGTCATGGACTGTCCCTGCTAACAGGGACGCCACACAGAAACAGACAGTAAGCTAGCACTCTAGCCGGTTAGAAGGTGATGCGTGGCCTGAGAGAAAGGTAGAATGAGCAGGGTAAGGAGATAGGGCTGCCAGTTTTCAAATCAGGATCAGGAGAAACCGCATCCAAAGGGACGTTTGTACAAAGAACTGACAGAGGTGAAGGAGGGGGAGTCATGTGCTCATCTGGGGAAGAGCCTTCCAAGCCTTGAAACAAGATACAATTCTCTTTCTGCGCAGTCACGGTACTTTCCCCACTTCCTAAACTGAGCACACTTAACGTGGCCTTCGTACGTGTTTGTAGCTGTTTGCACGGGCGCGCGCGGGCCCTTGTGCTGGTGCGCTCCCCAGCCAGCGCCCGTGGGACTTCTCTCCCCGAACACAGTTTAAATTCTCAGCCAGGCTTCCTGCTGTGTAGTTACCACAGATCGAAGGCTCCCGATCCTTCACAACTAACATCTGTATAGCCTATACTCCTGATGGGTGGTCTCAGGCTAACTAGACCAAGGGCCTGCACATTTTTTCTGTAAAAGGTCCAATAGTAGGGGCACCTGGGTGGCTCAGTCGGTTAAGCGTCTGACTTTGGCTCAGGTCATGATCTCACGGTTCGCGGGTTCAAGCCCCGCGTCGGGCTCTGTGCTGACAGCTCAAAGCCTGGAGCCGGCTTCAAATTCTGTGTCTCTCTGCCCCTTCCCAACTTGCGCTCTTACTCTCTCTCTCAAAAATAAATGAATAAACATAAAAAAAAAATAGCTTTGCCATTGTAGGTCTAAAGCAGCCACAGAGAACATGTCATAAATGAATGGGCGTTGCTGAGTGTCAATAAAATTTGTTACAATAGGCAGCGGGCCAGATTTGGGTCTCGGCGTCTGTGTGCTGATGATCGAACTAGAAGATCAAACTTCTGTGACCGCAGTATGCCCCGCTGACCTGCGGCCTACTTGGCGGGATGTGAGGGGAAGAAGCCATGGTAGTGCCAGACGCCTCTCTCCGGTGACACCGTGGCAGGGATCCAGGGCTATTCTCTGTGGCCCCTCAAAGGACAGCTCAGGCATGAGGGATGAACCACCTGCAGATACAGGAGCCTCTCTGGCTTCGAAGCGCATGTCCCCAGTGTCTCTCATACCCAAGAGAGATTCCAGGTCCCCAAAGAGAAGTGTCTGGTGTCAAGAACCGTCGTACCCCAGGAAGCCAAAACTAGGGTTCCCCCCCCCCGAGATACACTGTTTGCTCCCTCAACTCCCAGCGTGGCCACTAGTGCCATAGCCATGTTGTCCGGTAACCAGGCTGTCTGTGCTCGCACTGCTGTCACAAAACACTGCAGACCAGACGGCTTAAGCAACAGACACTTACTTATTGCTCATGGTTCCAGAGATTGGAAGTCCAAGGTCAGGGTACGGACCTGGCTGGTTTCTGATAAGGGCTCCGCTCTTGGGTTGCAGATCGCTGCCTTCTCGCCGTGTGTTCATGTGGCAGAGAGAGTGAGCAAGAGCGAGAGAGCAAGCTCTCTGGTGTTGCTTCTTCCAAGGGCCCCACCCGCAAATACCATCACTCTGTGGGGTTAGGGCTTCAACGTATGAATCTGGAGGGGGTGGGGGGGACAGCCATTTTCAGTCTGTAAGGCAGGTTGACGTCTCATGATTGCCAGTGCGCTGGTCTCCCCAGGGAAAGGGGTTTGGTTTATCTTTGACGCCCATACTGAACACTGTCCCAAGCCCTTTGTGTGACTGGATTAATCTCCCAAAACCGCAGTGAGGGAGGTATGACCATCTCCAAGCTACGGCTGGAGAGACAAGCCTACAGGGGGCAAGCCAGCCACCCCAGCCACGCAGCTTTGAGGTGACGCAGACGAGATTCAAAAGAAGTCTCATACATGCTTCATCTCAAAGGTTCGAGGCGGGAGCTGTTACAGATCTCATTTCACGGAAGGGGAAACTGAGGCAGGGAGCGGGCCAGTGGCTTGCCCAGAGGCTGGGTGGGCCCAGCATTGTGGCAGACACGAATCCCCTAACCGCCAGGCTGCCCCTCTCCCCCCACCCCCTGTTCCCTGTCTTCTGCAGACACAGACGAGTGCTCAGCCCAGCCTGGCCCCTGCGGCACCCACGGGCGCTGCCTCAACGCCCCAGGCAGCTTCCGCTGCGAGTGCCACCGCGGCTTCACCCTGGACAGTTCGGGCCATGCCTGCGAAGGTAGAGCTGGGCTTTGGGTGGGGTCCAGGCCTGGGCTGTGGTCCAGAGGGCCACTGGGCGAGCCCTGTGGCCCCATCTTCTCTGTCTCACAGACGTGGATGAGTGTGCAGGGCCCCATCGCTGCCGGCATGGCTGCCAGAATGAGCTGGGGGGCTACCGCTGTGGCTGCCCCCAGGGCTTCACCCCACACTCCCAGTGGAGCCAGTGTGTGGGTGAGTGTCAAGGGCCCCCGCCCGATCAGAATCTGTCGGGAGCAGGCAACTGGGAACCACCCCCAGCCGGGATGTTGAAATAAGGCGGAGTGACCTAAAGGCTTTTGGGGCGGCCTGGGAGGTAGTGAGGTCCCCACTGCCCTGGGGAGGCTGGGGTGTCGGGGAGGGGGAAGGGAGCTGCAGAGCCAGTTCAAGTCCATTTCTTAGGGAGTGGTGTCCTGGAGGGGTCAGCTGAGAAGGATTCTGAGTCAGTGCCCATGATCAGTAGGGGAAGTTCTGCGGTTGATTAGTGATGCCTGCCATGGGTGTGGCAGCAGAAAATGGGGGCGAGCGCTGTATCTTTGCCCTCGCTATTACAGAGGCCCTCCGTTTGGAGGACTAGCTTTCTGTGCCCTAGCCTCTTCCATCGCATGCTTCTCTGTGCTCTAGGCCCTCCTAATGACAGCCCCGTCCTTACCACCCCTGTTTGCTCCTCCCTGACAGTCTGGCTTTCACTCTCTACCTGCTGGCGCGCTCTCTCCAGACGCCTCCACCTCCACCTCCCCTGCTCCGGGCACCGCTGCCTGCCCCTCCCGGCCGCTCTCCTCCCTCAGCCTCTCTGACTGACACTGCCTTCTCTCTGGTCCCTCCTCCTCCCCTGATGGTGGGTCCTCAGCTAAGTTCTCCATCTTTCCCCTGCCTCGGAGTTCGGCCCCTGCCGCGGCTCTCCATGTCAGCCTGCCTCGCCCTCTGTGTACTCATTCGCTCATTGCTCCCGCAGTGGGTTGTCCGGGGCCTGTCTTGCATCGGGCCCTGTGGATCCAGAAGTGGGCCAAATAGCAGACTCTTATCTAGTCTAGTGGTGGGAACAGGGATTAGTTAGGCCCATGGTTCTCAGCCGGGAATTGTGTAGCCCCCTCTGGGACATTTTGCTCATCAGACCTGGGAGGGAGGTGGGAGCTCCTGGCATCTAGTGGGCGGGGGCCTGGGATGCTGCTTAATATCGCGTGGTACCCAGGACCACCCCGACCATAGAGAATGATTCAGCAACAGATGTCAGTAGTGCCAGGGAAGAAACCTCCTTGGCGATCATCCCATCATTTAGGATTGCTGGGAAGCTTCGATAAATGCTTGGAAGGAGAATGACAGAGCTGGGGAGGGAAACATGAGGAATGTAAGGGGTGGGGCAGACCTCGTCCCAGGGCTGATAGGGAGCTTGATGGAGGTTGACTTTGACCCTGGGCTCTGAAGGAGGAGCCGGAGATAGCGAGCAGAGATCAGGAGGGCTGTGGGCAGGCGCTCTGGGGCTACAGAGGCTGCGCCCCCTGCCTCCCACTTTTTCTCTCCCCCTCTCCCCACTCACAGACAAAAACGAGTGTGTGCTGTCGCCTGCGGCCTGCGGCAGTGCCCCCTGCCACAACACGCTGGGTGGCTTCCGCTGCGTCTGCCCCTCTGGCTTTGACTTTGACCAGGCCACAGGGGGCTGCCAGGACATAGACGAGTGTGCCGCACGGGGCGGCCCCTGCAGCTACAGCTGCACCAACACCGCGGGAGGCTTCCTGTGCGGCTGCCCCCAAGGCTACTTCCGGGCCGGGCAAGGGTGAGGGGCTTGAGTAGGGAGGGCACAGATTCTCAAGCCCTGCAAGAGCACGCACGCACACACACGTGGGTCCGTGTTCACATGCATCCACACACATGTGCACAGAGCCCCACCGCACATGTGTGGGTACGCACACAAGCTCCCACCCCATTCCGGTGTAATTGCCTTCGTGGTGCTCCCCCTGCACATTTGCACGCCCACGTGGAAGATGCACACTTCTCCATAATACACTTGAGCATACGGCTCACACGTACGCCAGCACACCTGTGGGCCCTTCTGCATTCGAGTATCTCAGTGTGCACATGTGTGAGCATGCACATTGGCGTCCTGGGGTGCATGCAGGTTCACACCTAGGCCCAGGTAAGCCAAGGGAGGCGTGCCCACACAAGGGCACATCCCTTGTGTGGGCACACGCAAAGGCACGGCCACACACTTACACACCAGCACTTGTCCCCACCTGCAGTGAGGCTCAGAATGGAGCAGGTGGCTGGGGAGATCCTACCTGCCCGACCCTGAAGGCCCACTGCCACCTTGTCCTGGTCCAGGCACTGTGTCTCTGGCCTGGGCTTTGGCGCTGGACTCCAGGAGACCCCAGAAGAGGGACTGCGTTCATCTGAAGCCTGCTATGAATGCAAGATCAATGGCCTCCCGCCTCGTGACCGGCCACGGCGCAGTGCCTACGGGGGCCACCAGGTCAGGAGAATGAAGGGATAGGAAAGTTGGGTGGGGGGCGCCTGGGTGGCTCAGTCGGTTAAGTATCCAACTTCGGCTCAGGTCACCATCTCGCAGTCTGTGAATTCGAGCCCCACATTGGGCTCTGTGCTGACAGCTTGGGGCCTGGAGCCTGCTTCAGATTCTGTATTTCCCTCTCTCTCTCAGCCCCACTCACACTCTGGCTCTCTCTCAAAAATAAATAAACATAAAAAAAAAAAAAAGGAAAGTTGGGTCGGAGGGGCTCTTGATAGTACTTTGCCTTCTTTTCCCCTCTTGTTTTTCCCCCCTTTCCTGGAAAAACAGTGGCTCTATAGGCCATCCCACTGTTCCCACTATTTTCTGTAAGCTTCGCAAGGGTAGGGGCTGTAAGAGTGAGTGGAATGGTTTTCGGGGCTCCCAGGATGGGCGCCAGCATCCGGACAGAGGAGGGCTGAGCACACCGTGGCTTTGCCTGCAATACTCACAAGCCGCCAGCAGGTGTCAGCAAGCGCACACATCTGCGTAACACTCCCGGGAAGGGCGGAAGTGTCCAGAACCTAGGAGCAGGGAAACAGGAAGAGCTTTCACTTTTTGCAACAGCAAAAACATCCCTCGGCATGCAAATTAGGCGAAACAAACAGGCTGTCCGGAGCCAAGGAGAAGAAAACACAGATAACCGCCTGTGGGACTGGCTACGTCATGGAGCCCGGGTTAGCCTGCCATTGAGGCTGCTGGCTTATTCAGGGCCCTGTCCAGCTGCCAGGACCAGGAACGTGCACACAGCCGTTCACATAAAGAGGGGTTTGTCATCTGCACACAGGGTGCTCTCAAAGAGCCCAGATGCAGGAAGTGCAGCGACCCGCCCCCGCTCCCACCCCACCCCCACCCCGGGCACCGGAAAGCAGCCTCTCTGGTGCAGCCAGGTCTTGTGTTTCTCTCACTGTGTCGGCTTCAGCTTTGTGTGGAAGAGTGGCCGCCTGTGTGCCCGTCTTTGCTCTCTGCTGGGGAAGCTGCCTCCGCCGTCACGCCTCTGCCTCTGGCCCAAGCGGATGGTGGCCCTTATGGTGGAGGAGTTGGCGGAGGTCACGGGCAGAGAGTGCCCCAGGTTGTCCTCTGCTTTAGAGACTGGCTGACATCTCTGTGACCCCGTGGTCCCCTCCCCCCCACTGCATTCCGACGCTCCCCGCCTCCGACGTCATCTGCCTGGTCTTTCTCCGCAGGTGAGCCTGGCCAGCCTTGACTCGGAGGCCCCACTGACCTTGGACCTGAACCTCTCGCGCCTGGGCCAGGCCGAGCACATCCTGGAGCTGCAGCCGGCGCTAGAGAGCCTGGCGGGCCGGGTCCGTTACGTCATCGCCCGTGGCAATGAGCAGGGTTTCTTCCGCATGCATCGCCTCCGAGGCCTCAGCGCCCTGCAGCTGGGGCGTCAGAGGCCTGGGCCAGGGACCTACTGGCTGGAGGTGGTGAGCGTGGCAGGGCCCTGGGGCGCCTGGCGGGAGGGGCCACCGGGACCAGGGGGCCGGACCTTGCGGCTGAAGGTGCTGCTGCAGCTGCTGTAGTCGCAAGGACCCTCCCCCATCTCCTGCCAGACCCCAGGCCTCTCCCGCAGCCCCCTCTCTGGACTCACTGCATGGGCACGGCCCAATCCTTGCCTTGTTCACCGGGATTTGGGGGAAACTGATGTCACCCAGCTTACTACCCAGCGCCGGGAGCCCCTGGTGGCCCTGGTGAAGCCCTGGACTCAGTGTCCCCGGAGCCCCCTGTTCCTCCTCCCCTCCAGAGGCCCCAGCTCCTCACCCCCTTCCAGAGCGTGGAGGGGGGCAGACCCCACCAGCAGTGGTGATCCCCCGACCAGGTGGAGCCCCAGAACTCAGGAAGAGCAAACCGCTATGCTATGACCTCAGGTGAACCCGGCTTCTGCCCAGGGGGACCCCAACACTCAGTCTTCCCAGAGACAGCTGAGAGCGGCCACACGCACCCTCCGATCCCAACAGCCAGGGTCCTGGAGGGGCCTGCGATTTGCTGAATCGTGTCGGTCTCGGGCTTCCTCGTCTGCACTGCCCCATGGCTCACCCCCCAGGCATTGGGGGGACGTGGAAACGGACAGCTGGGGACGCACCTGGGGCTCCACCCTCCAAACCGAAGAGCTTGTGGGGCCCCAGCCAGAGTTGGTGACAAACAGCCAGGCTCAGGCCCCCCGGGGGGGGTCGGGGCTGGGGTCCCAGGATGCATTGATATCAGAAGCAGAGACAACAATAAAGTTATTTTGGGTTAAGGCGGTCTCTTTGGCATGTTCTGGAAGCAGGGAGACACTGCCCTCCGCTGGGCCGGGCCGGGCTCACTGGTCAGGGAGCAGGAGGCCCCAGAGGGTGGGAGCTTTGGAACAATGGGCTTTGGCCCAGGGCTGTGAGGAGACAGTGCGCAGCCGGACACAGGGACACAGGCGAAGGCGAAGGTCACCTTCCAGATGGGGGTGGGGACATGGTCCCCAGGCTGCAGGCAGGTTCTGCGAACCTCAGACCTGCGAGTAGCACAAAGCCAGGCTGCCCGTGACAATCACTGCAAGCCCAGTGGGTTCACCGGGGCTGAGGACAGCGGCCCACGCTCCCTGACCGCGTGCCGTGTACCCAGCACGTTCTAAGTACCGTGACTCGTGTGCTTGGTTGTTCTTGCAGCTCCGTGGAATAGAAGCTGATATGCTCGTCCCCATTTTACAGATTGGAAAACAGGCTCCCAGATGGTGGGCCACTTGGCCAAGGTGACTCCAGGTAGCAGAGCCAGGTTCAAAGTCAAGGCAGCTGTGCCAGCATCCCTGCTGTCACCCTGCTCCGCTCACATCCTGCCTGGTCCCAGGGTGGCCACATCTACACCTAATCTGATGGCCTCGCTGGATGCCAGGGGACTGTCCGTGGCGGGGGGGGGGGGAGGTGTGTGCAGATAATGGTGCATTTGTGTGTTTATTGTAGTCTCTACACCTGACGGGGGGCTGGAACTCACAACCTCTGAGATCAAGGGTCACACGGTCTACTGACTGAGCCAGCCAGGCGCCCAGTCGTAGTGCATTTGGTCCCCGCTAGCTTGTACGAGGCCAGCAGTGATATCCCCCATTTTACAGCGGGAGGGACCAACGCTTAGAGAGTTTGTAGAATCGGCCTGAGTCGCCTGCATAGCCTACTAAGCCCTGGGTGTGACCCCTGGCCCCAAACCGCCTCGTGTCCTCTAGAGATGAAGCACTTGGTTTTCACCTGGAATGTTTCCTTTCATGGTGGAAACTGAGGCTGCCTGACGACAGGACAGTTGGAGGGCTCAAGTCTAGTGCCTGCCTCCAGGGCTCTATTCTTGGCCCGGTTCCGGTCCACTTATCTGAGCTTTTCTTTTTTTTTTTTTTTTAATGTTTATTTATTTTTGAGCAAGAGAGAGACAGAGCATGAGCAGGGGAGGGTCAGAGAGAGAGGGAGACACAGAATCTGAAGCAGGCTCCAGGCTCCGAGCTGTCAGCACAGAGCCTGACACAGGGCTCGATCATGACCTGAGCCGAAGTTGGAGGCCCAAGCGACGGAGCCCCCCAGGCACCCCAACCTGAGCTTTTGTGGACCCCTGTCAGAGCTTGCAGAGGGCTCCGGGCGTGACCCAGTCTCACTATAGCGGGCAGGTGTGGGCAGAACAGATATGGCGACCCCCGTTTTACAGGCCAGGAAAGAGATGCCAAGAGAGTGAGCAGTGTGCTCAAGGTCACCAGCTGGACTTGCACCTGCACCTGCAGCCAGCGTGCCCCCCAGGCTGTCAGCCACGGGGGCCATCAGCACACATCCTGGGCTGGCAGTCGCGTGGGATTCGACGTAGGCGGGGACAGCAACTCACACCCCATCACGAAACGCGACAGAGACAGGAATGACATTCCCCCTGGGGATATTTTAAATAACATTTATTTAAAAATTATAGAAAAGCATGGCCTGGGAGGAACATCCCAGGATGGACTGGAGCTTTGCAAGAACCAGGAGGGACCCAGGGAGGCGTGGCCCCGGGCAGGTGACATATCCAGATGACCCACTGTATACAAGTCCCCTTGCTTCCGGTTGACTCTGGTTCCTGGAGCAGGCAAGGGGCTTGAAGCAAGGCCAGCTCTTTCCTTTCCACTGCCCGAGGAGCAGGATGGGACAGGAGTGACGGGAGAGAGCCGAAGGCAGGCTCAGGCACGGGCACTGAGATGTGGCCTGAATGACAGAGAGGCTGGTGCCCCTGGAGCCGCAGGGGATGTTTGTGGCAGAGAGAGGTCCAGCACATCCTCATGCTGGCTGATCCTGGAGATGTGCGGGCTCACGGACCTGCAGGAGGGGATTGGAGAGATCGGCGGGTGATGGGGACTGGAGCGGAGCTGGGGGCCCTGCACCTCTCGGTCCACACACGTGACATTTCACCTCAGCACTTGCTGAAGCCCGTGAGGCTGGGTTAAGGTCATGAGCAGCCGCCTAAGTGTCGACCTGCCGGGCGGACCAGAGTCAGCCTCATTGGCCCCAGAGTTGAGTCCCCTCACCCGGCCTGTGCTGCTCTTGAGCTCTCATCCCACAGCAGTGGGGAAGGGCTGAGGGATGGTCACATGATCAGAGTCCTTACCTCGACGAGCTGCTGTCTGGCGGGCAATTTTCATCTTGTTGCTTCTGGTGGGGCTGCTCAGCTTGGACAGTGGTAGATTGGACGGTTCAAGGCTCAGCTTCCTACCTCTAGAGCCGAAGGCTGTCCGAGAGAGAGAGAAATAGGTAAGAGTTCCAACCAATACCGTGTGAGCACCTGGATTCATCCAAGCCTGAACGGTCAGCTGAGTACTTGAACCAATGAGTTTGTCATCTCTAGCAACTAGAAAAGTCTTGGCTAAAAGAGCTGGCATTCGCTCAGTCTCCCCTTGCAAGCAGTGGGCTCTCTTTGCGGGGGGAGCTTCTGTCAGCATGCAGGGCTGTGACCCCTCCTTTGTGGGGCTTGAGAAGCCCAGGGGCCCACAGCAGGGAGGCCAGGCCCCCTAGATGCTGGGCTTGGGTCTCACCCACCGTGGGAGCTTCTCAGGTTACTTTTGTGATGCATCAGCTTCTTCCGAGCATCCAGGAAGTCCATCCAATACTTTATTCTCTTGTCCCGAGGGTTGCCACACACCATCTTGTGTTTCCGGAAGAAGAATCTGACGGGGGTGAAGGGGGGGAGGGGTGGGCGGGAGGGAGAGAGGTTTCCCAGGTTAGGGTGTGAGCCAAGAGCAAAGTTGCGCATGAGCCCCGCCCCCCGCCCCGACTCCCGGTCCCCAGGGCCCCCACTCACATCACAGCGGGCAGGTTGCAGCTCCCGCTCACGTCCTGGCGCAGGTAACCCTGGGCACGCTTCAGGAAGTCCAGGCTCTGGAGCTGGTGGTACGCCAGGCAACAGTCCTCGGAGACACCTGCCGCCGTGACCGCAGGCTCACATCTCTGTGCGCATGCGCGTGTCCCGCTGCACGAGCGTCCCCGCGGACACCGCCCCCAAGCACGTGCCACAAGCCTCCCAGGCCCAGGGGAGGCCAAGGACAGCCCAGATGAAGGAAGGCAGGCACTGGGCTCACCTTGGGTCCCGTGATAGGGGGCCCGCTCACAGGGGCTGGGGGGGGTGGTCCACAGTCTCAGGCAGGGAGGGGCCCAGGACCACAAAATGAATGAGGGACCAAAGCGAATGAGGACTTGGATTCGTGCTCAGGGGCAGGGGAGCGCAGACACAGCGCCCTGAGGAGGGGCCGGGCGGCACCGCTGGGAACTGAATGGGCTGGCGGGCCGCTCCCGCTGGCCCCTCCCCACCTAAGGCTATGTCAAGGGCCTCTTCCTTTCTGTCCCTGCGAGAGTGACCACACAGTCACCAGGCCAGAAACCAGGAGGTCTCTGTTCATTTACTCGTTGCCTGAAAAAAGCATTTCGGGTTCTTACTAGGTGCCAGATGCGTAGACAAACACAGAGGGGAATTGGATCCAGGGCTGTCATGGGGATCCCCCAGCCTGGTGGGGACACCCAGAGGTCGATCTGTGCGAGAGGGGGAAGGGCGGCGACCTGGGGGTAGTGTCTTGGAGTAGGGCGTGCTGGTGCCGACTGGGAGGGAGGGCAGGTGGAAAAGTGACGTGAGAGACGGTGCAAGGCCCTTCAAGGCCCTCTGGGATCCATCCGTCTGCTGAAACCCCCCTTACCCGCCTTCTCCCGCCTCCAGGAGCCAAACCCAAGGTCTGACAACGTGCAGAGGGAAAGATGGGGGAGGAGGGCGGCTTGGGCCCTCTCTGCATCTCCAAACCTTGGCCCCAGAGGGCAAGGGGCAGTGGTGTTAGAGGGACCCTGGGTTGCAGTACCAGGCAGGCAGGGAGCCACTCTGCCCCTAGGATCAAAGGGCCCCAGGCTGGGCCTGGCTCCCGGAATGGGCCTCTGATAGCAAGACAATGGGAACGAAGCCCAGCCCCAGCCCCATCTTGGGCAAAGGCTAACGTCTGCTGGAAGCAGGACTAGGGCCTCTCAGACTCAGTGAGGGCAGGTGGGGCAGGCGCGAGTGGGGGAGGTGGGAGGGGTGGGAAGGTGGTGGGAGGGGCTTTGACCAAGCCAGGGCCCCTGCTCAGCCAGCTGCTGGGGCTCTGCCGCTTCCCCGGGGCCCATGGGGATGCCGGAAACAGTGGCAAGACTCCTGGGGACCCTGGATGCCCAGAACTGGCCTTTGGTCACCAAATCCTCAGGTGCCCAATGCGGGGAGAGGTGGGAAGGGACTCCCCGTGAATAACAGTATGGTCATCATTGTTGCTGCCGGGCATGGGGCCAAGATTTCTGCAAGTGATCGGCCCATTGGGTTCGCATGTCCTATCTCTCCAGGAGGAATCCAGCAGCCCGCTTCGTGGATGAGGAAACTGAGGCTCATAAAGACTGAATAGCAACACAGATCACCTGCGGCAGGCAGAGCTGGGATGGGGACCCACTCCTATTGGTCTCCAGGGCTCTGCAGGGTCAGGTCACTGCAGTGTGTCCCTGGCAGTAACTGGCTGTGCCACCACTGGGAGCCATACCCTGCTCCCCACAGTCTCTGGGCTGCCTGGAGTCCTGGCAGGGAGGCCTTGGGTCACGGACTGTGAAGGAGGCATCACAGGGGTTCTGGGAGGAGGGACTGGGGGGCTGCACCCCCAGGAAGCTGCAAACACATGCCCGGGGTTCCTGCATGACTGGGGGTGGGTGGAGTTGTCCATCAGGATTCAGTGGTGTAGACAGAACTGGGGAGGCTTCTGGGGGAGGGGAGGAGCAAATAGGGGAGGACGGGCAGGGAGGAGGGATGGGGAGAGGAGGGCTCCAGGGAGGCTGGGGGGTACGGCCAAGACGTTACCTTGAGCGCGGACAGTAGGACACCAGATGCCCGCAAAGCTGGCCACCACCAGGCAGAGTAGGAGCCACGAGTTCATTGTGCCCCGGCTGGTCCTGCTCCCCGGGTGTCTGGAGGAATAATGGCAGAAGTGGGGGTGACGAGGCCCCAGAAAGGACAGCAGCAGACACTGGGAATAGCTGCATCTCAAGCCAGGCCCCGGGGCCCTCTGCAAAGGAGGCAGGCAGCGCAGGGGGGTCTGCGGCTGCTCTCAGCCAACCCTGGGGGAAGGACTCACCAAAGCCTGCCGGATGCCAGGAGCGGGTGCCTGCTGGGGCGAATCCAAGCTCTTCTGCCCGCAGGCTGCACCCTTTTATAAATGGGGCCCCACCCTGAGGCCATCTGCCCTCCTCCACCCTCCCTTCCTCCCACCTCCTCCCCTGCTCTGCCTCCAGGCTTCTCCCTGGTTTCTCTTTCTAGCTGCTCTCTCTGAAGTCAAGAAGATGCACCTGCAAAGGCATGGCAGGCACCTGGGACAAGATGGCCTACATCAAAGGGCTGGCAGGAAACACCGACTTTCTCAACTACTTGGATTTGAGACTGGGAGGCAGAACCACACAGATGGACAGGCCCAGCCTGCCTGGGGGGCCACTTGAAGGCTGGCTGCCCTAGGACCCCCTCTTCTCTTCCTCCTGCATCCAGTCTTCCCCCTGCTTTCTCCCGCAAGGGTCCTTTCTCCTCCCTCCATTCTCTCTCCTGACACCGCAGGGCGGACACCACCTTCCCCGCACGGGGGCCTCAGGCTGCCTAGAGAGTTTGCCTTCCTCCTCGCTCCCAAGCCACCTGTTCCCGTGGAGCCCTGACTTCACCCCACTTTCCTCTCCTTCCCCACAATGGGGAGCCTTACAGTTTCACAGAAATGCCCTCGTTTTGAGAACAGGCAAATCCATAGAAACAGAAAATAAAACCAGTAGTTGCCATGGGCTGGGAGGGGAGAATGGGGCGAGAGGGTGTGTGCGCAACTCTGCGAATATTGTAAACACAGGGAAACTTGCACTTTTGTTTTTTTAAAGATTTTATTTTTAAGTAATCTCTACGCCCAGCGTGGGGTTTGAAACCACAGCCCGGTGATCGAGTTGCGCGCTCCACTGACTGAGCCAGCCAAGCGCCCCCCCCCCCCACCTCGAACCTTACACTTTCAATGGGTGCAGTGTAAGGTATGTGAATTTTCTCCAACATTATCTGGAGAAAAATGTTATTAGCAACCACCACAACAAAGAAATGCTCTGGTTTGGGGAGAAATGCCTGGAGCCCCAGGTAACCGAGCCAGCAAAAGGCACCTAGAAGGCTTATTTTTCTTTCCCTGGATCAGCATGGCGCACCTGGTCAGGGGCTCCAGGGGTGAGGGTGGGCGGTTGCAGGGGGAACGGGGCTCTGCAGAGACCTCACAGCTGATTGGTTTGAACTGTTAACTTTTTATTGCCCGCATCCTTAGCTATCGACCCCCAGGTATATCTCACACCCGCACCCCTTTTTCATAGCCCCGCCCCATCAGGAGCCCCTGGCGGGGACCCTTCGCCGGCTCGCGAGGTGCGGAATCCTGCTTTGGGGCGTGGCTTAGATCCGGGGCGGGGCCTGGGGCGGGGCGGGGCCTGGGGCGGGGCGGGGCGGGGCCCGCCCTGGGAGCTGAGACCCCTGCGGCCTGGCCTCGAGCGGTCCCGTGAGCGGGCTGTGGCCGCCCCCTGGGCCCGCGCGCGACTCCAGTTCCTCGACCTCTTGCTGTGGGAGGGGAGGAGGCGAGACGGGACGCGGCTCCGCGTGGCTGGGGGCGTGGGGACGCGGCGTGGCGGGCCCGGCTAGCCTGTCTACTCCAGCCCACTGCCCCTGGCTGCCCTGCCGCCCGAAGCCGCCAAGACGTGGGGGTGATCTAGACTCAGCTGAGGTCCCCCGCGAGCGAGCCCCCCTCCCCGCCCCTCGGGGTTTGTCCCATCCTCAGCCTTAAGCAGGAGGCAGGTGTCTAGGTAACCTGGGCGCAGGGCAGACAGGGATGTGCGTGATCTGGGGCCGCGTGCGGGTGTCAGGGAGGGGGACGGGAGGCTCAGTCCCTAACGAAAACCCAGAGTTCTGAAGACCGCAGCTGCTGAGTGTGAGGGCCAGATCCCCACGGTCAGGGCTGAACTGGGAAGGGGGAGGTGCCCTCTGTTCTACAGTTGAAGAGGCGCCCAGGGTGGGCTGCTTGCCGTGGGCGCCCCTCTTCTGCATGTGTGAAATGAGCACCGCGGGGGGGTGGGGGGGGGGAGACAGAGGCCTCTTCCTGCCTCCTGGTCACCAGCCCTGACAGAGGGGCCGTTTGGCGTGGTCTCCAGCTGGAAGCTGAGCCAAGCTAAGAGATTGGCCACATCCCGGGGCCTGCAGGTTAGAAGGTCAGGCAAAACGCCTCCCTTCCAGGAGCGCTTAGAGTCCCCCTTGGGAGGGCATCGCTAGTCAGTGCACCCAGAGGGTCCCCTGCAGAACGGGGTGCAGGAGGCTGGCCTCTGTGAGAGGAGATACCAACCGCTCCCTTTGGAGTCCCTCTGGGAGCCCGCTCACTATCATTTCTTTGCTGGAGAGCCCCTCCCAGGCGTTCAACTTTCCCACTTGACAGAGGGTCAGGGAGGTGCTAAGAGTCATCAGAAAGGCACGGGGCACTGGGGAGGTGCCCCCGATGGACGTGGGGTCCTCCTGCGACTGCTGTTGCATATTAGGTCCCCCTTTCCTTGGGTTGCCTACGGCTCTCCCGAACTTCTGATGCCTCCAGACCCCTGCTGAGGAGGCCCCTGAAAGCAGCAGCTGGGGGCCCTCCCTCCCGCACCTCGTTGTCTTTGCATGTCATGTGGCGTGAGCCTGCCCCTGTGTGCCGGGCCTGGACCCCGTTGTGGCTGGCTGACTCTGCTCTGGCCCAGACACACGTGGTTACCAGGCAACTGGAGGAAGGGAGGAAAAGGGGTTTTTCCAATAACGGCCTGCAAGCCTCTGGCCTTTCAGGGACGTCTTTATGGTCTGTGTGACCTCTGTCACTGTGTTCCTTTTTTTTTTTTATTTTCCTAGAAGAGAGAGATAGCGTGAGCAGGGGAGGGTCAGAGAGAGAGGGAGATACAGACTCTGAAATTGGCTCCAGGCTCTGAGCTGGCAGTCAGCACAGAGCCCAACGCGGGGCTCGAACCCACGAACCGCGAGATCATGACCTAAGCGAAAGTCGGACGCTTAACCGACTAAGCCACCCAGGCGCCCCTCTGTCACTGTGTTCCTGATGGGGTTGGCCCTGCCGCCTCCTGGAAGGCTGCCTTTGAGGGGCTTCCCTCCCCAGGCTGCCCAGGGCACTCTGTGTTCCGTAGGGTGCCCGCAGCGACCATCTGGGTAGGGGCCTGGTTCTCCGGACATTCTTGGGCCCCCGGGCCTGGTTGTTTGTGGCCTTGGCCTCAGTCCTGGTGCGTCCCCTGCTCTTACTGGACGGGCGGGGGACAGGCCAGCTGGAATGCCCCAGCTAGGAAGGTGGCCTATTGACGGTCCTGCCAGACCGGGGCTGGGGCAGGGGTGTCAGTGAGGAGGAAGGGCCGTGGGCTCTGAGGAGGGGGGGTCCCCACAGGGCCCTCTTGGGAGTCCCTCTTCAAAGCTGCCTCCCACACAGGTTTTCTGGGCGCTTCTTACATACCAGCCATTTGCCAGGCCCCAGGGTGATGGCAGTGAGTAACCAGATGTGTCTCCGCCAGGAAAGGTGGCTGTGATGTCACTGGACCCCACTGAACATCTCTTGGGGGCCATTTGTTCTCATGCTCATTCAGCAAACACTTTAGCGAGTGCCTACTGTATGCCAGGCCCTGGGTTGGGTGCCAGGGGAAAACAGTGAAGGAGACACACAGTCTCAGGGTAGAGCAGAGAAGGCAAGTGGCAAATAGTGAAGCATGATACAACTTTGAGATTAGGAAGGAAGACACTGGGGACAGGCTGGGCTCCTTCAAAAAGAGTGGCCTGAGATGACTGCAACCCCGTAGGATCAATAGCTATCCCCATTTTACAGGAAAAACACAATCAACTGAGGCCCAGAGAGGCTAAGTGGTCTGCCCCAAATAAGCGGGACCAGATTCCCAGCTCAAGTCTCGCTCCTTCGTTCCACATTTACTGTTAGGATGCCGTATTAAGCATATCTTAAAAAAAAAAAATTTTTTTTATTTTTTAAATTTATTTCTAGGAGAGAGAGAGAGAGCGTGAGCAGGAGAGGCTCAGAGAGAGGGAGTCACAGACTGAAACAGGCTCCAGGCTCTGAGCTGGCAGTCAGCACAGAGCCCGACACGGGGCTCGAACCCACGAACCGCGAGATCATGACCTAAGCGAAAGTTGGACGCTTAACCGACTAAGCCACCCAGGCGCCCCTCGGAAGAGCACACGTCTGAACACGGGGCTCGAACCCACGAACCGCGAGATCATGACCTAAGCGAAAGTTGGACGCTTAACCGACTATGCCACCCAGGCGCCCCCTCCAAAAAAAAATTTTTTTAATACTATCACTTCTCAGCCTTTTGGCTAAGATCAATTGTAAAATTTTTTTAATACTGTATTTTATTGAATCCTATCTACAAAAATATTATCATTTCCACAGGCAATCAAATAAGACTGATTAATGACACATTTCCTCTTTTTTTTTTTTTTCTGGCATCTTGATTGTACATCTGTAGCACGTTTCAAACGCCAAAGAGCCACACGTGGTGGCTACCTTGGTGGGTAGTGGGGTTCTAGCCACAGATCACTGTCACGGATTCTTTTTTTATTTTTATGTTTATTAAGACTTTCTTTTTGAGCAGTTTAGTGTTCCCAGAAACACTGAGGGAAGGTACAGAGATTCCCTTATACCCTTTGCCCCACACATGTACAGTTGCCTTTGTTATCAACATGCAGCACCAAAGGGTGCGTTTGTTGCCATCAATGGCCCTAAGCTGACGGCATTATCATCCAAAGTCCGTAGTTTACATTAGGGTACACTCCTGGTGTTGGACATTTTATGGCTTTGAGCAAATGCATCATGACCTGTAGCCATCGTTATGGTATCACACGGAGTATTTCACG